CGATGGGCCGAATGGCCTCCTCTCGTTTGTATAGTTCTTATGTTCTTATGTTCTTATGCACAGACGAGGTTAGTGACCTTTCCAGTCGCCACCATCACAGGACGTTGTCTTTCCAGCTAGTCAGCTTACCACACTTCAGCCCTGATGGACCTGCCCTAGTCAACCGCAAGTGAATTGAATATCTAAGAGAATGGCAGCAAATCCCACCAGAAATGTTCCCACATCTAATGGAAAACCTCCTCAGAAGAGTAGAGACTTTTTTTAGCAGTAATGGACCAAATCCAAATGAACACTCTTGGTTTCAAAACGAGATGTTGGATTAGCTGGTGTTGATGTACACCTTGCCGTATATTTTACATATGATGGTCTCTCTTTTTTGAGGGGTTCATATGTCGTACAATCAAACATTTAGTTGGAATTTGAAGTCAAAGTGATTGTTGACACGCCACAGCACACAACAGTGAAGTGTGTCCTTGGCATTTAACCCATAGCAGTGGACAGCTAACTTAGTGCCTGGTGAGCAGTGCTTGGGGAAGGGGTGTGGGGGGGGGGGTACCTTGCTGGTCGCGGATTCAAACCAGCATCCTTTCAATCATAGGTATGCTTCCCTAACCATTAGGCCTCCACTGCCCCAGTAGCTAAACTTGAATCGAACCATGCCTAATTGCTTCATAATAATAATGAAGTACCATAAACTTGTAACTTCTTGATGATGTATTGCGCCCTGTCTTCTGCATCAAATTTAGCAGAAATCATGGAGCCTCGATGGCAGGCGAAGGGGTCTAGCCACTCCCGGGAAATGAGACATGGAAGCAGTGCACCTAATATGCCCCAGAAAGATGCCTACTCCAGGCTGCTCAGCCAGCACCACAGCAGCGCCTTCCGGGCATACCTGGAGCAGTTTGCTCGGGAGCAGAATCTGCAAACTGACCACAACAGACCAGGTCCGGCAGGGATCGGAGCACCGGGCACCAATGGCTGCTCTCCGCATCCCGCAAAAGACGCTGAGTCAGAGAGCTGCCTGTCTCTATACATGGGCAAGCTGAATGGGCGGGGGGGTGGGCCCGTCTTCGAGCCGCCGGGACCAAAGCCGGGACCGGGGGCACGGCGGCCGAGGCGTGGCGAGAGGAGGGACACGAACACCAGCCAAGATGCCGACATCGAGTCTAGCGAAGAGGGGCTCCTGAAACACCCGAAACCCCCGAAGAAACAGCAGCATGGTGGGGGAGGGGCTTTCAAGACCCCCGCTGGTGATGCGGGGACCAACAGCCCTGTAGGGCCTACCGGCGGGCAGCAGCACAATAAGCAGAAACACAAGAAGAAGAACGCAGCAAAAAACAAGATGGACGCCGCGCCTGAGGGAGGCAGGAGTGCTGGTGCCGACAGCTCAGTCACAGCAGCGCCAAAGGGCCACATTGACAGAGCAAAGTCAGCGCAGCCTCAGGGTAAATCAGCCGCAGGATCCTCATTCCCGTTCAGGGTTTTTGTACAGCCTCACATACCGATTTTTCTGTGATTACACCAAATAATTTAAAAGGCGGTGCTGTAGATGTGGCTTTCATTTTCAGACCAGGTCCATTCAGCCCAAATGACCCCAGACAAGAACAAGAGCAAAAATAAAGGAGGCAGAGGGAAGAAGAAGCAAGTGTTTGACGTGTACCTGTCTACGGATGAGGTGTCCATGGGGCTTAAGAGGGGAGAACTCATTCAGGTAAATCTGCGTGATGCAGGCCACCCAAGTGTCACTGAAGTACTTTCTGTTAATGACTGATTGCAAACATTACTGAATATGTGTGTTTTTGAGGGCAATTCTACCAGAAATTGATTTGTCTTTGCATCTGGTAGTAATTTGCATCAAACAATACTTGAGTTTATGTAAGTTTGCATGTCGTGTGAAGTATAGTTCGGTGGTATAGTTGGTGGTTTCTGGTTTTGTTGTCTAGGTGTATGTCCCTGGATGTTTTGTGATCGTTACACCCAATTTTCTTGAATATATTTGTGGTAAACCACTTTAAATTCATTTGGTTTTCAAGCAAATTATCCTTTTTCTTTTCCAGGGACCATTAAGAATCAATCCTAAGAAGTACCATGAGGCCTTTGCTCCTTCACCCGTGAGTCCCCCCCCCCCTTTTTGTTCCATCAAAACACTACATTAGCTATTTAATGGACGAGTCTTGTAAAAACGGTAGGGATTTAAAAAGTGAAACTGCCGCTATACTAGAACACTTCAGTTCAACCCTGAAGGATGGTTGTAGGCTGACATTAAAGACTTTTTGAACACAATGCTAAGTGCTTTCAGGTTATGCTTAAGGATGGTCTTGATGAGGGCAGGTCAGCATAAACAGGCTGGCTGTTCAACAAACTAGTTGTCTGGTTAGTAGCTTCTTATTTCTGTTCTAGTGCTTTGATCTCGTTGAGTACGCCTTATAGCAGGCTAACCTGCAAGCGCACATCAAACGGCTGTACGCAAATCCAAGTCACCGTGCTACAGAAACATCGGTGTTTGGAACCTCAGGTTGCCCTATAAACATGTCTGGAGAAATCTGAGTAAATACTGAGGAGTGTTTTGCATTTTCACTTGTGGAAAACAAATTATCGTGGAGTACAACACTAACTTGTCTGTTGGCACACTGGCCCAAAACAGTAACTCTCAAGCCAAAACACTCTCAACGTAGGAGGTTCGTCAGATAACACATTGACCAGGTAAGACCTTCAGTAGAGACTGAAGTCTGTTTAAACCTCAGGCACCTCACAATTTGCAACATCTGCCTCAAATTTTTATATATTTTTTTTTTAAAGCTTTCTGACGTCAAGCTGATGTAAGCTTGGGTTCAGTTGGAGACTGCTGGCTTGGTACTAGTTCTCAAGCCAGCTCGCATTGCCCTTTAAGTTTGCATGTGGTACGGTGCAGGTTGGGGTTAGCTAGATTTGACTCATAGTCACCAGAAGAGAATTTAAGACCTGTTTGCAATATAAAATTAATTTTCTTAGTATCAAGGAAAGTCGTCATCTTCTTTCAGCTGCTCCCGTTAGGGGTCGCCACAGCGGATCATCCGTTTCCATTTCTTACCATCCTCTGCATCTTCCTCTCTCACACCAGCCACCTGCATGTCCTCTCTCACCACATCCATAAACTTCCTCTTTTCATCTAGGCTAGCAGCTCTGTCCTCAGCGTCCTTCTTTCCAACACCTCTCCTCTGTACATGACCGACATTAGTATCAAGAACAGTACCGTAATGCAATTCTTTCGAATGCCAGTTCAATATATTAAGGCTAACTTTTGTAACGTGGGGTTGTACTTTGTGATGGAGAAGGTGCGGCAGAACACTTAGCAGGGACAGCGATTGTCTTTTAATTACACGCACTCTTCACCATCCTTACAAAGCCCGGTTGAATGGCTGCTGGCTCGTCACACATGAAGCGAGCAGTATTCATACAACCCGTGACGTTACTTTGAGTTAGGGAGATAAGAACATAAAGTCTCCCTCAGTCCATGCGGCTATCTGTAAGCACGCTTCTTCCGCGCTCTACAGAGCGTGGTAGCGTTTACGTGCTGACATCATCAAAACATTGACTCACGCTGTCTTAAAGAGACACCACACAAATGCGACTGTTTCACTCCCCAAACCATGATAACATGGCACTAGTTTTAGGCATAAGAATCACCTTGAAATATACTCAGAGTGTCTTGCCATGTGTGTTTAGCCTGCAGGTTGGTCTGTGACATGAGGCTTAGCAGTACATCTCCATTACTGTGCATGGTAGCTGCAGTACCAATAGATCTTTACCTGTAGACAGTAGCAGGAAAATTAAAAAAATCTGCAGCGGTTACTTGAAGTGTTGCTTCACTTGTCCTCCCTCACCCCGAAGTTAGGAATTTGAGCCCGGCATCATTTTGAACCTCCAATTTGACTTGAGAAAAACAGTTAGAGATATTATTAAGATGTTCCCAGCCTTCAGTGCATGAAATATTGGGTGTGTTGTTTTTAATACCCCCTCCGGCCTTGATGATAGATTATAGATTTCTTTGGCAGGGTCTGCTGAGAGATAGTCATCTTTTTTGTTTTCAGCATATATTTGCATACAGTACATCAATTTGCTTGACGCTTTTAAGTCTGCTCTCTTGGTGTCTGCTCCGTGTCGGTTTGCTGGTATTAACATTCTCGGTCGTGTTCTGGATGTTAGAGAGCATGATGGAGTTGTGGAAGGTGGAAAAATTCTTGCGTGAGCAGTCCAAGTTAATTGCTTTGCATCAACTGTGTGTTCAAAAGTTACAGTACCTTTCGGCGCAGTTTGTTATGAACAGCTTTTTGTATTTAAAACTTTTTTTCTTTGTATTGATGTGTCCATTTACCTTTTGTGCTTTTAGCTTTAGCAGATTGTGGGGATATTATGAATTGATATTTGAGCGCTTGGAGTTAAAAACGTCTTGGGAAATTCAAGGGAACGAAGCTTCTGTGTTCAGCCTGGACAGGTTGTTTGCCATAAGGAGAATCCCCCCTAAGTGTATGTAGTGATCAGATTGTTTTTAGCAGTTTTTTTTGAGCTGTGCTCTCATTCTTCCTTGCATTATGTTATGTTTTATTTATTTATTTTTTTTACTAAGTGAAATCCCCCTGTCATCGGATGTGCAGTTGTTTCACATTCACCTTTGCGGAGCATTTGCTTTGGCAACGGAAGTAATGCATTTAATTAAATTGGTACGGCGCAAAAGCACCTGGAGCTGAATGAAAACTCTGCACTTGAGCCAGTGACATTTCCTTGAGGGTGTTCATACCTTTGTCTGTTTGGGAGTTGTATGTTACGAAAGTTTTCCAGCTCAAATTTACTATCTTTTTATCTAGCTTCGTGAGTCATACACAGTAACGTTAAACAAAAAATAATTTTCTAAAAATAAGTTTTAATATGTTTGACCATAAACCTTTCTGTTGCTTTTATGCTCCTTTTTTATTGGCAAGCGAATACTTTGTGTGATTACTCAACAAGCCATGCCTCTTATTCAATTCTTTATTTAAAGAATTGATAAAAAAACTTTATTTATCACCCCGCTTTAGGACGGCACTCGTGACATATTCCTGGATGGGGTCGCGGCCCGGAACCGTGCCCTCAATGGGGACGTTGTGGTTGTCAAACTCCTCCCACGGGAGCAATGGAAGGTAAGGATACCCTTACACACTAAACATGGTACTAATTAAATTAGATCAAATTCAGTTTTGATGTCATCGCACAAAGTACAAGTAGTCGGACAATGAAATGATCTATTAATCTATTAATGTTTGCGCTTCCTATAGGCAATTTAGTTTCTTAATGTAATGTTTGACTTAAAAAACCCTTCATACCAATAGCTTTATAATTGACAATTACATGTCAGACCTTAAGGTCCTCTTTAGACAGCCTAGTACCCATTCAGAAGGGCAGGCTCCGCTCGGGACTCTCCATCCTGTTCCTTCCTCCTTTATTGATCTGCAGTCCTTGGTCTTGTAGCATGTGCTGTAAGATGCTCTGTGTGGCCTGGCTGCAAGCACTTCACCCGGCCTGTCCTCCAGACTCCAGAGCGCTGCGGTACAGAATTTTCTAACTAGAATTTAGTGATCAATTGTCATTGTTGACACACCACAGCACACAGTGCACAACAATGAAATGTGTTCTCTGCATTTAACCCATATGTGAAAAATGCAACATAGCAGGGGGCGGCTAATTCAGCGCCCGGGGAGCAGTGCTTGGGGGCGTTACCTTGCTCAGGGTACCTCAGTGGTGCCTTGCTGGTCGGGGATTCGAACCCGCAATCTTTCGATTATAAGTGTTCTTCCCTGACCATTAAGCCACCACTTCCCGCATTCCGCATGTATTCCCCGAGTTCGTTTTTCTTTGCTCCCTCCGGCGGCTGATTGTCATCCCCGACACGTGACTCCTTGTCTCAGCAGTGTCACTGCCTCCCGGCGTGGGGCCGTCTCTGTCCTGCTATCTCACAGTCCCAAACAATACCCGCCTTTCACTGATTCAACCTGCTCTTTTTTTTCTTTTTTTTTTTTTAAAGCAGCCTTTGAATAAATAGCGTTTTGTCCACATGCCCGATTATTTTTGAAGGATTCGGGATCTCAGATTTCAGGTATTATTATTTTAATTTTAAAGCTTAGCAGTGTGGTAGGTTGACCTTGGCACTGTCGTTTTAGTCCATCCAGGTCTTTGATTTGACTCGGTCGGGAATCTCCAGCTAAGTGGGTATTGACGCCTTCACCTGGTACTTAAGTGAACTTGTGCTTTTGCATCAGTGTCTCTTGGAAATGCCAACTCTGCCTGTCTTCCGGGTTTCATGCCGTATTTGTGTTTGAAACACAAGGCTGATTGTGTCGGTATTTTGTAGGGAGGAAAAAGCTTCACAGGGCTGCTGTTCACAAGGTTGATCTGCTTTTTTTGAGAGGAGATGCAGCCTTTCACTGCATAAATGATGGTTATTTAATGAGTCAAATGAGAAGCGAAGGCCTGAGGCCAGCAGATGATGGAAGCGCACGAAGAGAACATTATGTAAACTACTGTAGCCTCCCTTAATTACCAACGGTCTTTAATTTGCTGCCAACCCTCAGATCGCAAGTCATTTTTATTGCATGTGCATTTATCAGCATCAGGGCTCAGATTTTTAAATTTTTTTTTAATGGAACAAAGTATTATCTTGACATGCTTTTAAAAAATAAAGTACGACTACTGGAAAAAACATAATATTTGTATTTTTACCAAAGTGCTGGGCTCAGTGGAGATACGTGTTTACACGTGTTAAAGAAAGTTCTGGTATTCCGTGTCTCCTAGTCGGTGTCTGCAGACTGTTTTGACTGGTGGGTGTGCAGTATAACTCGCATCGCATGTGCCTATTGAAGGATAGGCGATATAAAACATGCGGTACTATATCCCGGTATCCTGTCATACTGATTGTTTAATTGTATTGCTACCATTTCTTTGTTACCGTGTTTTCTAATCAACAGGATGTACTGTAGTTGGCTAGTTTTGAGTTGTAGCCATTTCTGCCATAATCAAGGAATATAAATAGTGCTTGTGTGTAGGGGAAAAAATTTACCATAATTGCTGATATGAAGTCAAGACCTTGATAGGGCTGAGTAATTTCTGTATTAACACAATTTGCTGTAGCTTATGCAGGCTGAATTTCAATGATTTACTTTGATGTTTGTACAGAAATGGCAAAATTCAGGTTTATTGCTGGAATACCTAATCACCAAAATGTTCTGTGCCGTCTAATGGATTGATAATTGGTCTGTAATTTTTTAAAGTGTGTTTTATGTCTCTAGTTTTATTCCATTTAAGCTTGTTTGTGTGTGTGTGTGTGTGTGTGTGGGGGGGGGGTTCTCTCGGGAAGTTATTTTTGCATTTAACACTTGATGCCATATGTCTTTGATTTTGATTAGGTTGTCTTTGACAATCTGGTACTTGAAAAATACTCATAATTTTTGTAATTATGTAACTGCATGAAAGCCATTCCTGTACTGCAGGATTGTCCGTCAGTAATTTTCAGTGTCTTGCATGGTGATTTGTAAAGGTAGAGTCGGGTTTTAAGGTTAGATGATGGCCTTTCGCTTTCGTCTACCCGGCTTAATGAGCGCCCGTTTTCCCCTGACCGGTGATTAATGTAACGGCAGGTAATGACCTATGATGCTGCTGGAGGGATGGGATGTCGCAGCTAAACCCCATTGTTCCGGGGGCCGTATTAGCAGGGATGACCACCTTAAATGACACGCAGAGTGATCTGGAAAATGGACCGTGAGGAATCTCATGGCAGTGCAGCGGCTAGCCTTGTATGCGCGTTATATTTAATTTTTGTTTTCTTGTTTAAAACCTGGACATTTTCTTTGGATTGCTGCGGAAGCTTATGTAGCTTTTCTCGCCGACTTACGTTCACCCCGGCTTCATACTGTCGTCACAGGACGGCTAATGATGTCCTTGTGTAATGGTAAATAAGCCCTTGGTGGTCGGCGGGCCATGTGCTTGGACAGCCGGAGAATAAGCCCCGCCCCAGTGTGCTTTGAGCCACGCCGAGACCTTCCCCTGTGTTGTGTTCCCTCTGAGCTCCCCGGCCGTCTTCGCGGTGGTCCAGACCGACTGTTTTCCCTCTCGTAAAAGGCCGTCTGCTTTTTATCAGCGCTTTTCCATGCGTTGCTGTTGCTCTCGGCCCCGGTTGGGTACAGCGCCGCACGGTAGGACGTGATACGCAGGGCCTGACCTACAGCGGAGGCTAGTGCTGTGTAAACGCGTCACTGAATTTGGAATGAGCCACTGAAGGTCTCCACAATCATTCACGATGCTATGTGGCTGCAGTATGCAGACTAGATACAAGACAGACAACTCTGTCCACCTCCAAGTGACTTTATCATATATGTAATGAATTGGTCTTAATGGTTCAGCAGAATGTTGGCTTGTGGCATTAAAGCAGCGTCACCATGTCTTGCCTCATTATTACCTGCAGACCCACTGTCCCTTAGCAGGCCACTTCGTCCATGTGGCCTGTAGGGGCTTCCTTTCTGTGAGTTGGGCAGAGTTTGGCTGGCTGAACTGGGAAATAGAGTCTTGGAAAAAACATGCTTATGAACTGGCTCACCCTGAAGATGAGGATGGTAATAATAATGATGATTTTATTATTATTATTATTAGTAGTAGTAGTAGTATCCATATTGTATTAAGTATTATTAGCAACAACAATAATAATAATAATAGTAATAATACTAGTAGCAGTAATGGTAATAGTATTATCATCATCAGTCTCCTCCAAGGATGTGGAAGAGGAAGCTGGGCTTGCTCAGTCAGTGTTCCCTGAGCCTATCAGCAGAGATACCCAAGAGGAAGTCATCCTGATTCAGGACCTTTCTTTCCCACAGGGAGTAGTCCTGGTCTGACAGGCACACAATGGAGGCCTGCTGCCGCACCTCCCGGCCGCTGGCCTGACAGGCACAGGCACACAATGGAGGCCTGCAGGCGTGCCTCCCAGCCGCCGAGCTCTGGAGACGCTGGTACAGGCAGCGCAGGCTGTCACACCACCGTGACCAGTTTCCTTTACTGTCACTTCAGGCTGCAAGAAAATACTCACTGCCGAGCGGCTGTCTAGCTTGTGTGTGAAACGTTAATCGGGACGAATTTGCCCACTTAATGATTCTTTATTTTTTTCCTGCTCTTTGTTTAGGAAAACAGTAGAATTCAAATAGCAACAAGTGGTTACATTCTCTGCCTTTGACTTATTTAAACCATCACTCATAGACCGTGGTCTAATATTTGCTTTCAGATTGTCTTCCATTCTCTCAAAATGTCAGCGTATGTTTGTTGCAGGTCAGGTACTTCGTAAAATTGTCATTTTGAAACCTTGTTTATATTGCTTTCTGTTTTTGGAAGCTTTATAATCTCCTCTTAATAGCTTTTATGTTGTAGCCCCGTAACCATTATATATATATATACTTTGATGCTTCATTTGCACTGAACAAATTCTGGATTCATTACTCCGTGTGTTTTCTCGACTAGGCTCAAAGTTACTGGAATACTTTCATCGTGGTAAACGTTTCTTGGTTTTAGAGAAGAGAGAAAAAACAGTGGAATAGTACTATTACCACAGTTATTTATGTGTAATGTTTCCGACAGTGTGATGCTTTGCGCAGTCAGAAGGGGTTATTTTCCCCTCCTGCCCTGCCCGCTATTGTTTTATTGCCGGATTTGGTCTGGGATAGCCCTGTTTCAGCTATCGTGCCCCCGCCCTGTGCGTACCCTCTGCCCTGCCTGCAGTGAGGTCTCTCGGTCAGGCAGTAGGAGTAGCCCCGGCTGTGCATAATCTTTCTGCAGCAGCTTGCCGCGTAATGCTGACGTGCCGTGCGAAAGGCCTTGCTTGTCAACAGAAGATAGACTGGGCTGATTAAGCCAGTACATCACAGCACAGGAACAGCCATGATACGCAGTAGGAGTGGAGAATATTAGAGGACATCCCCACCAGGGCCTGATCATTTATCATTTTGTAAATTTCCTTCCTTTAACCTATCAGTTCCCTTAGTGAGTCAGTATGTTTTGGCTGCACTTTTATAACTAACCTTGATGCATGTCTGTTGATATTTAGTCAGGAGACTCGAGCAGTTATGCTTTTGACTCATCTTCCTGGAAGAACATTACCGGATGCTTTTGTCGAACACGTCCTCTTTAACTTGTTCTGCTTCCGAATCTAATTGTAGGGATGAAACAAACAATTCAAAAGTGTACATCCTTTTTTTATCCCCCATTTTAAATATTCTACTTTTAGATAAATCTGACACTGAAAGTCAACCTTTTGCAATAGTTCCATTGAATTGCAAGAGGGTAATTCTGGAAGCTCTCATACTTGAGAGTGATGTATGCTGGTTGGTCAGATTTCCACTTACCACTAATGTGTACTGGCCTTCCCATCAAGGAAAGATATCTGGGTGATTTTGAGCTAATACGCTTTCGGTACCTGCCCGGCTGGTTAATTTTTCTCCAGCATGGTCTGGTTTCTCTCAAAGGTTCCTAGCAGGTAAAAATTGAAATTATCTTGTGATCAGCATTATATCACTCTTTTATCTCGATACACAAAGAATCTTTAGGTTAAGTTTTTGCGAGGTGGCTTTTGGGGTTCCCTCTGACCTGAAGAGTTGTGACCTCGCTTTGATTTCCGTGGCGGGTTTCTGCTGTTGATCGCAGGATTTCGCAATTATTCTCCGTTAAAACATCGTTTTTCCTGAACTTTATTTTGCTACCTAATTGATTGGGTTTTTTGTAAATTATGGGTGAAATTAATATTTTAGGTTGCACTGTTGAAATCTTGACTTTAATTTTAGTGTGTTCTTTTGAAAAACGACATGGCATAGGCTGGCAAAATAGTAAGAGATCCTTTAGTTTGTGAAGTAATTTAAATGTGACATTTGGGAATAGAGAAGTCATACGCTTAAGCTTTTTGAGCCAGTTTTTGGGTAATGCCTGCCTGACCCTCTCTGCTAGCTATTGACCGTATTACCACATTTCAGAAGGAGCTTGCGTTTATTTAATTTTTCTTGCTAAATGGACTTGCCTTGACATCGAATTGAGTAGAAAGCCAGCTAAGGAAACTATCACATACGTATGCAATATCTGAAATGTGACACCTACTTCTCAGATGTTGAACTCCTGTAGTTTTCCTGGGAAAAAAGGTTTCCCTGAAAGTAAGCTGTTTTATGTAATTATATGAAATGACGAAGTCTTGGGCAAACTTTCAGCAGTTTGGTTTTATTTGAGAGCTTCTCTAAGCCGTCTTGGAAAGTCAATATCATGCCGCCTTTCCCCTCCCGCAACTCAGGTGATTAAGTCCGACACGGACGGGGAGGGGAGCGGTGAGTCGGAGAACCCGGCCATGGGGACCTCGGCCCGGGGGTCGACGGGGGGAGCCCAGCCCAGCCCAGACGTCATCGTGGAGGCGCAGTTCAGCGACGGCGAGCACGACGCAACCGGCACTGATGCACTTGCTACCAAGGTTGAGATGATGAATCTCCAAGCAACCACAGGTGCGCAACCTGACGTCTTGAGCTTTCAGCACCATTACACTTATGGCTGAAAAGGGATTTTAGTGCATTAATATTCTGTAGCTTGGGGGCAACACTGATGGTTCAACCGTTAGCACTATTGCCTCATGCCTAAGGTGAATTGTAGTAGACGTTTGTCCGTAGGTGTGAATGGTATGTGTGTCCATTTTGTCAAGGGATCCAGTTCTTTCAGGGTAGTCGATGCTTAAGATTATCACTCCAACCTCAGCCTTGACCCCTCCAGCCTGCTTATGGACAGTGGAAATGAGTCCTGTACCCATAGTCGTAACTGACTTCCAGTGAGGGTTACACTGCGTCATAGGAAAAGAAAGGATTGTTCTCCAGCTATAAGCACCGGAAGCATAATTAATGTTTCCTGGTTTACGGACTCCTTACACCTATTTTAACCTTGAAAGTTGCACTGCATGTAAACCACTGCATAGACTCGCCACTAGTTTAATTTTATGTGAAGGAGGTTGGTATAGATGAGCTGGATTTTGTGTAGCGTTTAGTAGAAGGTGTGGTCCTTCAGTATTACGCACCAGTCACTGGGAATGTTTCCATTTTCTGGGATTTAAAAAGACAAGAATTGAGGGTATTTGGGAATGAACACTTCCTCTAATTATCACCATCATCATCATCATCTCAGTTTCTGCTGTCTCGGAGGCGGCTGTGTTGGGACTTGCTGCGCGCAGGTTCTCCGGGATGCGATGCTCGGCTCATTAATTGCGAGCGTCAGGCGCTGCGTCGTATCGCATCCCGTCACGTCGCTCCTGATGCAGAGCAGGGATTGAGCCCCGGTGAGAGGAAACCAAAACACAGATGAAAGCAGCAGTTGTGTGGCTGGTGTTTGCATAGCCAGCTTTGAGCCGTCTCGGAATCTGTTTGGATTGGTTTACTTGACTACGCGTTACGTTTATTTTCGCAAGACAGTGTTTTGTGTAATCGAACAAATAGGAAGGGAAAAAAAAACACAAGTTTTGTCCTGTTGATGGAAAGAGTTTAATAACCCATCCTGTATCTGACAGTAGTGCTGCAGACCCAAGGGGGGTGATTTTACCTCATTCCGTCAAGACGGCTGAAATGTTCATTAATCTGCCCCCCATCCCCACAGCGTACTGTGAGTAATGATATTTTCCCAGTCGACCCTCCCAACCAGATGGAGATGTGGACTATCTCGCTCCCCCAGAACTGCACTGTCAGGTGAACATATTGGTTCCTTCTCTCAGAAATAAATAACGATGGAGGTGCTTGGCGGCTCGTACCCACCGGTGCTCCCTGCAGCCCCTCAGCGCAGCGACGATGGAGGGGGGGTCACACGTCCCTCCTGCTTTCTGCTGACGCGGCTCCTTTTCTCCTATTTAATGCCATTACAAGGGGGGTGTCCCAGTGGGCGGGGGGACCCCACCTGCGATGTCGTGTGCGAAGAGGCAGCCATGGAAGTTTACGCTGGTGAAAAACGGGTGTGAGCGTTTTAATTTAAAGCATGAAGGTCAGGCTTCCCCGGACTGCAGTTTCACTGGTGGGGGGGTGACTGTATTTAAAAAGGCTGCTGGTCTAGATGTGACACATGGGTGTGTCGCAGGTGTGTAAAATGTGCAGCCAGGCAATTTCGGCTGTGATGTCATCACATTGTGGCGTCCTGTTTGCTTTCTGTGAAACTTATTGCCCTCTTACTGGGAGGGGAAAAATTCCTCTGGTTGTGGTGTTTGATCCATAAAACTAGATTTTTTATTTTTTTTCCCTCTTCCTCACAAATAGAGGAGTTGATGGGATGTTGTCTGCATGGTGGTTGAATCATTGGAGTCATTGACAAAATGCAAATACGGATTCTCCTTCCCCGTCTGCAAATGTACAACTACAACTATTCAACATAGACGTTTTCTTTATTCCAAGCAGAAGTCACAAAATGTAGGACAAAATCAACTAGATTTGGTGCTGTCAGAGACTACAGCATTGTATTCCTTGGCTAGCCTTGTCGTTTGCTCCAGCCATTTAAAGACATAGACATTAAGACAGACACAAATAAATACAGTCAACAACTTAATGGATGGGGAAAGATGGTGCAGATCAGCATGTAATCAGAATATGCAATAAATAGGTGTAGAACAGAATTCTGTGTCACATGGATTGGCATTCACATTTCCGGTTGATCTATCCAGTAATTCTAGAAGTCGTGGAGGTTGGGGGGTGTGGGGGGTGGTGGGGGAGGGGTGATATCTCCTCGACTTTCCCCTTTCTCAGCTTCCACGACACGCTCAATGGTTTCATTTTTGACTGTGAATTAAGTTCCCTCATTGTTTGCATTGTTTGCAATCGTGAAAGAATACTATAGGTCTCCATTAAAAATCTTTTAACACACAATAACAGTATGTTAATATAAACTTTGTCTCCTTCTGTATTTTGGTTTGAAAATGTGTAGATGAACCATAAACGTGATATTCTGCCCGGCCCTTCAGACAGTATTCTGAGGTTGTGTGAGAGGTCTGAGTCCTCGGTCAGTAGTGGTTTTTATTTTGCTTAATAAAAAAAAAAATACTTGGTCCAGAATATTCTCCTTTTGTTCCATTTGAGTGGAACGGTCTCTGCAGTATAATTAGTTTTTTTTTTAATTATTGTAAAATTCCTAAATATCAAAACCCCTTCCTTGGGTGAAAAGCTTAGGAAGTGATCATTTTGATTTGTTTCCACAATCTTGCCTAGATAAATTTAAATGCATTCCTTTTTTCAAATCCTTTTGAATGAATGAGTTTGTGTTGTATTTTTAGGTTCGCACAGCTCTGGGGACGTTAAAACCGTAGCTGACAAGTTTCTTCAAAGGACAGGGAAGGTGAGTCGTGCTCTGTGAGCTTCAGTCTCTGGCCAGTGCTGGAGGAGAGTGCAGTGCGGACGGCGTCCCCTCGCCCTTCACCTGCTGCTCTTTCCCGGCACGCTTTCGCCTCACTGCACGGCGCTCCTCGCTCCTACCCTTCCGCCGCAGGTGGTGTACATCCTCCAGCGGAAACACTCCCGAGCCGCCACCGGCTTCCTGAAGTTCCTGCCGGAGAAGAGCTTCGCCATGTTCTCTCCAGTGGACCACCGTGTGCCGCGGGTCAATGTGCCCCTGGCCGACTGCCCCGCCGACTTTGCCACGCGGCCTGACGACTACGCCAGCATCCTGTTCATCTGCCGCATCACCGACTGGCCCGGGGACAGCACCTTCGCTGAGGGGTGAGAGGAGGCGGAGCCCCGACGGCTGCCCCGCCCAATGGAGAAAACCCTCTTTTAATGTTGCCGTTTGCCCAATTCAGATGATTTACCTCTCTGGTTGAGGGCTCGCGTTGTAAAGGTCCGATCCTCACTGGGAACGGGTCCAGCATGCATGTGTGCGGAGGTTTTAGCTTCTGGAAGTGGAGGCAGTTGTGAAACTTCGGTTCCACTCAGAGAGGTAATTAAGAGGGTCATTTGGATTCCATCACAGTTGCCAATTACCCCCCGTGCGGTGTCGGTAATCGCTGGAGCAGAACACCCTATAATAATGCCCTCAAAGGGGGGGGGGGGGGCACCACCCTGTAGCGGCCGTGATGCCCGTTCTGCAAATTCATAAAAGTGATAATTACTTCAGCAATTAAAGCAAATTGCTGTCTTTGTCATTCAGCTTGCAAATTGCAGAAGGCCTCTTCATACCTCATCAGAGCTAGAGAGAATCAGTGGGCTATGCTTTTTTTTCCTCTGCCTTTGAATCACTCAGTGTTACATCTGCATTAATATTTACGTGAGTATTTGGATGTTTGTATGATGCACTTGTACATGTATATATATGCAGGTGCACAATAAGTGGCCACTTCATTAGGTACATCTGTTCGTCAATGCGAACAGCCTTCCCCCGATATGTGAAGCACAGAAGCAGGGATGTGATGTCACCATCCTGGTATTTTTGCATAATGTGGTGTCTAGAGTTCACGGAAAATGGTGCACTATAATGCAAACATGAAGCAGCAGGTCTGCGGGTGAGAGCACCTTAACGAGATCAGAGGGGAAAGGCCACGCTCGGTAAAGGAAGACCGAAAGTGCAAAAATTACAGCACTGCATCATTGCCCTGTCCGTTCCAGTACAGGCTGCTTGTGGTGCTGATGCTGTAATGGTGTGTGGAGTGTTTTCACATTAGGGCCCTCGCTGTGGCATTCAGATATACCCAAGCTGTGCTGTATTCATTATGGCCACAGTCTTTCCCCTTCAAATGGATGCATCCAGCAGCATAATCCCAATGTCAGTGGACATTGAGTGCTTGTCTTTGTAATGATGTATATAATATTCAGTGATTGAGAGTAAAAGAGAGACCAGTATGACTTATTATCAAGTAAATAAATTACTCAAGTTAATATCGGTCTACCTGAGCTGATCAGCACTTCGCATACTGTAACAGATCTGGGCATCTTGTCATTTTTCAGCTTGGGTGTGGCTGTTGTACCTTTTGGTGTAGAGTACTTGACCTGAACTACTTAATTGACGAACGCAAGATCTTTGCGTACAATCGTTTGAAACTGTTGGGCACACAACAAAGTAATATATGTGTGTGCATATCGACAGAGCTAGTTGATGAGATTCCTCAGACATCTATCTTGCTTTGGATTTTTTAATTGCGCAGCAGTTAATTAAGCTCTGTTTGCCTTGTGGTGAAAGTCGTTACTGCTGTTGTTTAATCCCCGAAGGCAGCTGGTGAAGAGCCTTGGCCTAGCTGGAGAGATCGAGCCGGAGACGGAGGGCATCTTGACGGAGTACGACGTGGACTTTGCTGAATTCTCTGAGGACGTTCTGCAGTGTCTCCCACAGGACCTGCCGTGGACCATCCCGGCCGATGAATTCACGAAAAGGAGAGACTTGAGGTGGGCTCGCCTAAAATCGGGTCTCTGATTTTGGTCGCTGGTCACAAGCACGCAGTGGTACCTCTGCCGTATTCTGCTCTAGTTCCTGACTGGTCTTGTTGCACAGGGGTTTTTGTTTAAAAACATCTGCCTTTTGTATTTACATGAAATTGTGATTAGTTCAGTTGATCCAAGTTTGTTAATTCTCTGGAGATAAATATTGCTGCCATGTGTGTCTGGAGACATCTCTGGAAGTTGTACTTCTCATCAGTCTAGCTGATCTGCTGTGGGACTACAGAGCCTTTCTTGTTTTGTTTATTTTTGAAGTGGAACTCTGTTTTCTGTTGCCTTCCCTGTAGAGGGTCCCCGGGGGAAGGTGTTTACAGTTCTCACAACAACGTTAATGCAAGGCGACTCTGCTGATGCTTGGATATGTTCATGTTGCTGAAATTCGCAGTGAAATTAGGTGTGTGCGCGCGTGCGCACGCGTGTGTGTGTGGTTTTCACAGGCTTTGCCATTTCAATTTCAGCACAATAGATGGGGTAGAATGGGTACATGCGTTTCAATAGAGCCTTAGACTCTAGAGGTTTAAGGTGCTCTTGAGACATGTTTTGTGTAATAATCGCCATTTATCCATCCATCCATTCATCCATCATAACCACATTTCCAGTGTAGGGTCCCATTGGGCCTGGAGTCTAACATAGGACGCAAGGCAGGAGATACCATGGATGGGATGGACGTCCAAACTGGGCGTACACAATAACCCATTAAGATAATTTTCAGTACAGGGCTGCACGATATCACATCACGATTATTTGAAATATTTGTGCTTAATATTGTGCAATTTCTAAAACAAAAAAGGAGATGAAATTAACCCTGAATAAGTTTTTAACAATAAGTACTCTACCAATGTAGAGTATTTGTGTAGATTATTGTGTCGATGTAGATTTGACCAAGTGTGTCAAATAAGTTGGTGGTGGCGTTGCGAGTTCTGTCAACAGACACAAATCAGTGCCCACAAATGTGATATGATTGCATGGCTCTAGATGACGGGCGTAAAAATTTGTCCAAATGAAGGATCTTCATTTAATTTCATATCATATGGGCATTTACTTACACCCACAATTTCATAAGCAGATACGTAGTACACCTACTAATGAGAGATTTGTTGCGACGCCCAAAAGTTTCCGTATAATCTTGATAGATTCAACGTATACTTCTGTTTCATAAACGTGTCTGACTTTAAACTGCAAAAAGTACCGTCAGATCACTGATATCTGTTTTTTTTTAACCTTGGTTATCCAAATTGTGAACATACGTAAACATCTGTAAATTACGATAAAAAGCCACTGTGCGTACAAATCTTAAGCTCTGGTGATTATTGCGCATGCGCCGCAGAATTCTGATTAAATCGCAATGTGATATTATGCAACTTTAATTCAGTCTTCTATATGCAGAAATAGATGTGTGAAATTTTTAAATATTTTGACTGTAGTTATACTGTTATACAACAGTTTTTCTTCCTGCCTAATGAACTGTACAATTTGATTCATTACTGCATGATACTTTTTAAGTTAAATTGATTAGGGATTTGTAGTCGGTGTGCAGTCTGCTTACATAAGAGAATACTTTCCTTAGTGTGTATACTTTCAGTTAAAATCTGTTATGGTATCTGCCAAATATAGAGGCTGAAAGTGACACATGGATAAAAATCTGTTTTTAATAGAAGACATAGTCGGGCTATTAAGGGTAACAATAAAGTTTGTTGGAAAATTGTGCAATATACATGGAAAAAATGGACAGCAAGACACTGATTTTTTTATTTTTTTTTAATCTGGCTTAAGTGAACTAATTTTTGCATTAAACAGGGCAATGTACTGGCTGCTTCTAAAAATTTTCATGAGCCCTTCTGATGTCAGCTAAAGGCTAATAAGACAAAATTTGGTCGTTGCTTATTGTAATGTGGTTGTGTTATTTACATCTATAATGTTCCATTTTTTGTTAGTGAGCTAAAGGGGCTGGTGTTGCACAGATGATGAGTTTTGGACTTGGATTTGCATTTAAATCACAGCAAATGTTTCCTGGGGATAGCAGAAGATGAGGTTCCTCAGAGAGCAAAGGGCTGATTGTTGGTTTACGTTGCATTTTGATTGTTTAGCACCCCTTCTGAACTTGGCCGAAATTCACGCTTAAATCGGTCTCAACTGTCGCTCTTTTCTGAGTTTGTTAGAAGCCGTTGGCTCAGTTTCACATCTCCTGTATTTAATGTGCTAAAACAAGTGCGTTTGTGAATACAGTTTATGTTCGGCTGTTTGTTTCTTCCATCCAGGGTTGCGATGAGTAAGCGACGTGTTTGGCGAGGTATGTGCTGCATGGTTCTGCGGCCCATTGCAGATCAGTCCCTTCTGTTATGTTAATAAACTCTTCTACTTCAGGACTACGCAAACTTACGCTAAATTAGCTAGGTCATGGAATATGTGTTACGCTGTCAAAATTCGATTTTATTATCTTTAAAAAATAATGCTGTGCTCTTGCCAAGATGACGTGAGTTCTGCTCATGGCAGTTTTGAAATAATTGCATAGCTTCTAGAGAATTAATGCACCCCCCTCCCCCCTTTTTTTAATGGAATAGACCTGCTCAGCTAATCAATGTGTGTAAATTATGCTTTAGAAATTAAAAATGACTGGCATGACATTCAGGCTACTGCTAATAAAATCCTATTACTGTGGAGATTACTTTTAGCCCTGGCAGCTTTCAGAGGACATCCATGCCATCCAGCTGCCCTTTGCTTCTCTCCCGTCGCGATGCCGTTATGATCTGGATCAGCGCTGGAGATACAGCTTCTTAGGACACGCGTGTGCCGATTTATCAGAAACCGTAAAATGCGATGCTGTCGGTTTTACCAGAGACACTTTGTGATTTGGCTTTCTGTTGAATCTCGCAGAACATAGCGACTTGTTTTTTTTTATTATTGTACTGTAATTGGCGAGTTTCGCCTTTGTGGGAATGTCAGTCATGTGCTGGTTGTGACGTGTTTCTGCATGCGTTCTTTGGTAAACAAAAATGTTACACCCCTCACTCCCCTATCATAAATTGCCATGTTATGCAGGAAGGGCTCTATTGTTTTCCTTCTACTGGACAGAAAACAGGCCCCTGTGTGTGTGCTGATTGTGTATTGAATGGGGGCGCGCAAGATGGGACTGAGAGCTTAGAATAGGTGTCCAGCCATCCATCTCCCAGCTGCTTATTCAGTATAGGGTCACACCACTGGGTGTTCACACACTCAAGTGATCACTAAGGATCAGATGATCACAGAGCTCTTTTAAGAGTCTTTACCGCCTTGTGCCTAGGAAAGATAACCTTCTAAATACCTGCCCACGTCCTCTTTTCATGTTGACGCCCCCTTTCCTGGTTTGCTCTTACAACACAGTGCGCAAGCTGAAGTGAATTAAGAGAAATTTTGAAAGCTTGTGCAAGGCACTGTATAGAGATAAGTGCCGATCCGATTGCTCTTCAGACGACGTTTCCACATGGTCTCCGATGTTGTCAGAGCAACTAGCCAGGTGTGAAAAGATTATTTATATCCGCTGCTTTACTTGTGACGTCAAAGATGGAATTGTCTGAAATGTCTTTTATCTAGGGTGTGTCAGTGCTCCAAGACTTATTTTAGTGAAGTCCTTTACGTGTTTTATGATTTTGGATATTAAATATTGATCTGGGTGCAAATTCTGTACCCCTCAGGGTTTACCTTCTGGCGGATGCAAATTCCTGTTTACAGCTGGCGGGTGTTTTAAATTTTTTGGTGTAAGCCATCCTCTTTGAACTTGTACGCTTTCTTCTTACGTATCAACAACAGTTTTTATCCCCCCCCCCTTTTTTTTTTATTTTAAAAAAAGTTGTTTGTTCCATTCAGCGGTCACAGTGAATTTTAATAGAAAAAAGCTCTACCTTTTTCTCAATGGGATTTTTTATACAGCGTGCAGTGGTCTATGTTTAAAGGTGAGATTTCACACCAAGTGGAATTTACAGTCTGCCAGCCGTGTGCGTAATCTATGTTTTTTAACAGCGATAATAAAGTGCGAGTTGCCAGTGAATTTCTGCGTATGGCATCTCTAATTTTAGCTTCGGTTCCAATGTTTTGTACTTAAGTTTAGATGGTGCCCTCTTGGGCTTCCTTGCGCACCTCAGAACAGTGAGGGGCTTTTCGAGTCTAAGCACACAGAATTATCCCATAGGCTTCCTTGTGCATTGTGCCAATAGAAAGAGCCGACAAAAGTCACATTATTCAGTAGGGATTAAAGGGTAACTTTTTATGTTAAGTTTCAGTGCCCACAGAAAGTCTTAGGAAGCTTTAATTCTATAAAAATTAGTGATGCACCGACAAGGAAATTTCGGGCTGATACTGATAGCGGATTATTTCAAAAACTGTTTGGGAGGTTCTGCTTAAAAAAGTTTAGAGGGACACTTCACCCAAATAAATTTAAAAATAAATTACATTCTGAAAATATTAAAAACAAGTATACTACAGTCCTAGAGCACTAGGTTTTATACCACATACTTCTTTTATATTTATAAAACTTATAACAATTTCTTTGAGCTCTCCTGCTCTTAAAAGCACTTAAATGTGCTTTAAATATTGCTGTAGCTTTTGTCTTAGTCGTCATTTAATTGTTGCGGTTTTAAGGATATTGTTGGAATCTCTTAATACACTTACGAATGAAACCTATTTTCCTTAAATGGTCACATGGTAAATTCCCAGTATCTGTAGCGACACTTAAAGCCAATTTATCCCTTTAGATCGGAGTGCATCTTCACCATCGACCCAGCCACTGCCAGGGACCTGGATGATGCCTTGTCCTGCAAACCTCTTCCAGATGGTGCGTAATTTGTCCTCAGCTGTTTACTTTTTCCTTCAGTACCTCATGTTTGGTGCATTTTGGACTATTAATGAAATGCCGGCTTCATTTGCTGTGTAATTCTCTATTGTTGGCTGTTGTGCTGCAACATTAATTTTATTTACTGTTTAGTTAAACACAGGATGCATTCTATCCATGTTGTGCTGAATGAATTAGCATTTGCATGATAAGAGGCATATGGTCACAGCTAATAAGGAGTAATTGGTTGATTCGTTATTTTTAATTGATTTATTCAGTAAAATAGTTCACTTTTAAGGCAATAAGCAGTTTTCTCCCTTCTTCCCTGTATATGCTGAAGAGATTATTTAAAAACAAGCCTCTGCTAATTTCCCGTTGACTCTTGTTCTACCATGTCTGACTAATTGTTTTCTTTTGAAGCTCCTCTCAAGCTTCATGCTGTTGAACTCAGTGTCATTTCAGCAGAGACGGAAAATATTAGCTCTTTGTAACTTTGCGGCATGAAACCAAAAGCCTTCTGCTTGCTGAGAATGCCATGGCTGTCCCTGTTTGCTGGAGCTGAAGTTCTTAGAATGAGAATCCACATGCACCCATAGCTTCAGACTTGCATCATTACACACGCACCCCCCCTCCGACCCCCACGTGCAGTTTTAAAACCAATTCAGCCATTTTGTCTGAAAATGGACAGGTTATTCATTACAACGTTGCGCTGTATTCTCATCTGAACCTATGCAGGTTTTTGTATCTTTGCCGTTTGTTATAGTTCTCAAATTTGCATTAGTTTTTGTTTTTATTTAGTTTTCCTTTTCATTTTTCAGTTTTAGTTCAGTTTCATTTTCTTTTAATAATGTACAAATAGTTTAAGTTTTTATTTCATGAACATTTCTAGATTTAGTCATGCCACACTGGAAGTGACTTGCATGCTTTCACCCTGAGAAAGTCTGAAGCATCTTGTTTTCCTGCCTTAACATTCCCCTCCAAACCCCCACCCTGTTTTCATACCTGTGAAGGACCTGGGTTATTGAGGCTCCCAGTCCAGGATTACAACACACACACACCTGATGGGATTTGGCACTTCTGGAGAAAATAAAGACTAGCCCTGTTTTAACATTGACCATTGGGGTAGAAATAAGACGAATTAAGAAATAAGTAGCTTGGTAACTGGTTTAGCAATAGTCTTATATTTTAACCAATGATTAGCCTAGGGGAGTACATTTTCATTTATATAACCACTGCATTTATACAACCCACAACATGTTTATAAACCTTATTAAATCTAGCAAGCAGACTGATCTGAATAAAAGAAAACAATGTTGTGTTTTTCCACTAATAAACCACCGGCACTGGAGATGGTAGAAGTTGTGTAAATAATGTTGGTTATCGATCTCATTTTCTAATGCAGAAGTTAGTTTGGATTAGTTTGTTCGGATGAAAAGTACCTGTTGTGGAGTAGGAACTAAAAAAGGGTTCTGGAACCGCCTCCGAGGAACCACAATGGGGCCGAGTTCCTGCAGTGTGAACACAACAAAAGTTCCTGGTTCCATAAAAGGGTTTTGGTTCCTGAAAGATGTTCCAGGGGTTTGAAAGCACCCTTGGTCACATATTGCCTTTTTGATGGAAGGTCTGACCAGAAAATACCCCAAAGCAGGAATGTGGGTGCACCTGCGTAGGCGATGTCTGGTTTTCCAGACATGCCTACACATGAGATTTAGCATTAAGCATGCATGTACAGTGTTAAGTTGTTAACATAAATTTGCTGTCTGTGTGTGTCTCAGGAGAGTGCCTTGTCCAGACCTCAGTCATTCTGTGTTCTTGGCGCAGGCTTGGTTCATGAAGTGTCGTGCTATTGGGTGGCCCCATGGAAATTCCCACGCGTGTCCCTGGGATCTGCATAGTGTATGTTCTCTGATTCCCTGGAAATACTAAATGTTTTTCTTTTATTCGGGGGGCCCCTGACTTGCTTTATGCACACCCCTAATGAGACCCTAACACAGGAGACCTAGGTACAGATGATCTTGCCTGTCTGGGGGCTTGGTGGATCAGTTTGAGGGCTGTGGAAATGACCACCATCTGCCCAACCACATAGTGTAGCAACGTTTGGATGCGTAACGAAATTGGATGGAGAGATCCACTACAATTGAGCCCAACTTGTATAGTTTTATATGAAACCTGATTGTGCTTTGGGTAGCAGTGTGACCTCACATCGCTAAGGCTACGCGTTCTACTCTTACCTCCGTACCGTGCGGCTGGGGAGCTTGTGGAACCTCCCTGCGTTGCCCGATTTCCTTTGGCCCCTTCCGTTTCATTCTGCAGTCCCACGTCTTATTCTGTGTGTCCCGTGAAGGACCAGCACCCTGTGCTTCCCGGGGTATGTTCTAGGCACACAGAGATCCTGTGCTGCATAAGCAGTTAGAAGACGTATGGATGTTTGTAACATTTTATATATTGTGTGTTTCTGTAGATTGTTATTAATTCTGAGAAAACTGTCTTGCTGAGTGTCATGAACTCAGGGTGTCTCGTGATCTGATATTGGCACATAGTCTTGTGAAATGATTATTATTCTGATAAGGGGCTTAAAAAAAATCAAATAAAAAAACAGTATTCAATGCCAAATAAAGATAAGCGCATATCAGTAAAACAAGGAGAAGGATTTCCCTGACCTAGCCCGGTGGAACTGGGGCTCTTAATTGCGTCTGTACTGGAATCGGCGCTGTGCGTTTTGTGCGTCATTGTGACACTGTGAGTGTGTGTGCGCACATGTTGTTCCAGGTGTGTTTGTGGTCGCTTAGAGGACAAGCAAATGAAACCGAAGAATAGACCAAAGAACCCCCCCCCTCCCACACACACACACACACACACACACACACACACACACACACACACACACACACACCACTGTATCTAAATATTTTTATTAATTTACATGACTTTCATAATGTGAGCTTGTTATTAAGTTAATTGGGACTTACTGGTGGTTCAATTATTATTTCTTGCCTTTTTAAGGTTTACTTAGCCGGGCTAATGACGTCTCACTAATTTGACGACCAGATCAGAAACACGCCTCAGGAGCTCCATTAGTTTATCGTCGCATTGACACAAACACTCGTCCAGGAACATTTTTTTTCCCCCCCTTCTTCACTAATTATTTACAACAGTTAGCTGTCTAAACGTCAAATTCGGTCCCTGTATACAATTAGCAGGGTGATCGGACCTAAATATTTCAGACCTTCGCTGGAACAAAAACCTACATCGAGTGCCCACCCCAGCCCCCACCTGGGGAAACTCTGGGAAAAATTAGCGCCGTACGAAAAACAGAAGCGTCTGGCACTGTCATTCTCACTGTCATCTGGGGGGGCGCATACAAACCTCATTGTCTTCACTTTCCATTTTCACGTAGGAAACTTCGAAGTCGGAGTTCACATCGCTGACGTGAGCTACTTCGTGGAGGAGGGATGCTTGCTGGACAGTGTCGCTAGCAGAAGAGCAACCAGTGTCTACTTGGTTCAGAAGGTCCTTTTTCTAATTGCAATCTAATTAATACAACTAATCAGTGTGCTTTCTTGATTAGATCATTCAGGCAAAATAAAGATGCCTTTCTGTATGTATCTAAGGGTCATTCGGCTAGAAATTTGTTGCCAGCAGGTGTGACCCAGGCTTACTTCCTGATAAAGTGCGTCTTGTGCCAGTTTTGTTTGCTGAAGTTCTCTTTTTGGAAGAGCATCTGTGAACTTGCCCGTTTTTGTGTGATGGGCAGAAAGGTTAATTGCCCGGTGAATAATTGGTGCTGTGAATATACGGCGTCTTTGGTATGAATTAATTCTATTATCTGTGAGAAATTTTCAAAGGACTACATTCATCCATTAGATTTTTTTCTTGCCTTTTTGGATGAAATGGTTTTATAAATGGATTAAATTGAATTGAATGGATTAGGTTTGGATGCTTTTTACTTGAACAGTGCTTATTGTTTTAAGCTTTTTATACACGGTCCTTTGGCTAGTAAACAGGAGGATGCAAAGTCATGGCTTTGTATCGTGTGCCTCTGCTTTAAGGTAGGACATGGCCGGTGATTGGGGTTTTCATGCTGCAGTTGGATGCTGAGCCGTTGTCCTTTTTTCACAAACCTCGCGTTAAATAAACCAGTCAGGTGTCTATACCTGGTAAGCCAGTCCATCAATAGCCTTTAAACCTGAAAAGTTTTTTTTCTTTCTCAGTCACTCACAGTCAGTTAAAGGGGCCATGACTTAGCAGTTTGCTCCATTTTAGTTCGTGTGTCCACCTAGTAATTTGATTGTACTGTAAATGTAATGTGTGGCTGCTCTTCCTGTCAGGTTGGATGCCCCTGACATCACTGACAATAACTGCTTGTTTTCTCTTCTCCGCCCACCCCACCCCCAGGTGGTCCCGATGCTGCCCAGGCTGCTCTGTGAGGAACTGTGCAGCCTGAACCCCATGACTGACCGACTGACCTTCTCAGTCATCTGGAAAATCACTCCAGAGGGGAAGGTACCATTTGACGGGGGTCTCCTCAGGTCCCAGAAGGGAAGGTACCATTTGACGGGGGTCTCCTCAGGTCCCAGAGGGGAAGGTACCATTTGACGGAGGTCTCCTCAGGTCCCAGAAGGGAAGGTACCGTTTGACAGGGGTCTCCTCAGGTCCCAGAAGGGAAGGTACCATTTGACGGGGGTCTTCTCAGGTCCCAGAAGGGAAGGTACCATTTGACGGGGGTCTCTTCCGGTTCCTAAGGGGAAGGCACCATTTGACAGGGGTCTCCTCAGGTCCCACAGGAGAAGGTCCTATTTGATGGGGGCCCCGGGATGCCAGGTCACTTAGTATAGGAGTTCTGTGATTCTGTGACTGGGGGGGGGGTGAAAGTGGGATTGGTTCCGGGGCTGATGGAGTCTGGATTTTGTTTGACTTTGCCTGTGCTACAATATCACAATGCTTACAGGGTGAAAAATCCTAACGTGAACTAATCTTTGGTGAGCTGGTGTCCAGCGGCAGTAGTAAAAGACTGTCAGTGAACATCATTTACTCTTAAAATCATACCTCCTTTCCTTCTAGCTAAAAATTAGTTTTTTTTTAATTACCCCTCTTGGACAGGCCTGTGACTGAATCCCTTCCAGCCTGATCCTTAAATACAGGGGGGGTCCTCTTTAGCTCCCCACATTGTGCCATGGGTTCGACTTGGCAGCACAGACTTCCAGTGCCCTTGTCTCCGCTTCATCACTGATTGAGTCGAGAGCCAGAAGCTCCCAGTGGAGTCTACTGTAGGTTGCATCTTCTTAATTTGACAATGATCTGTTCCTCTGATCTGTTCCTTTTTTTCCAGTATTTATTTTTTAAGTTGGATTAATACGGCAATTGATGGGGCTCTTATTAATTATTAAAGAGGAGATATTTTCTGTATGAATGTGTCCAGGCTGGTGATGTTGCACAATTCAGTTCACAGTGCAGCAGTATTGATCACAGGGCGCCATCTTTGTCTCAGCTGAGCTGCTTTCAAAGCAGTTCCATGTGTTCAACCAGAAGAGCCCCTGTGGTCACTTTTGGGCTTCCAGCAGGTACCTGTAGAAACAACCCAGGAATGGTTGTGACCTTGTAACTCCATGTATAAGTCAAACATCAAATTGTTAAGTCAAAAACGACTGATGTTGTTGACTTGTAGTCATTGTAAGACACAATACAAATTATTCTGTTGTGGCAGCCGGTTTAGTATTAGTTAAATTCATGGACTCGGGGGGTCACATTCTCAGAGGGGCCAAGCATTGTACCTTTGAGTCCAGTGTATCACTGCAGTCGAACATCCAGCTGTATAAACAGGTAAATAAAAATGAGGCCTTGGCTGAGTATCAACAGAGCAACTGCGTGCAATCATTGCATTAATGGGCCTTGGTCTCACGTCATGCTTGGCGAACACCCCCACGCCATGACCCACCCATTAGTGTTTGTTTGCTCCTGTGAAGAACGGCCTGTTCTCTCCCCCCCCCCCGCCCCCACCAGATCCTGAGTGAGTGGTTCGGCCGTTCCGTGATTCGCTCCTGCATCAAGCTGAGCTACGACCACGCCCAGAGCATGATTGACTCGCCCGATGCCCCCCCCGGCCCCGAGCAGCTGCCCCCCTGCGCCCCCAAGCACCCTGTCGCCGAGATCCACCGGGCCGTCCTGGACCTGCACCGCATTGCCCGCCGGCTCCGCGCCCAGCGCTTTGAGAGTGGTGCCCTGCGTCTGGACCAGGTGGGCCGAGCATGTGTGAGCTTAGCACCTCACACCTAAATGCTGTATCTGTGACGGCCACCAGGTGGCCTAATGCTTAGGGACTGAACATTCCAGTGGTACCATATGTTCAGCCTTATTTTTGAACGATCCTGGGGTCTGTTTAGCTCCTATTTACAATCTGTTTGGTTTGGGCACTTTGATTGGATCAGCTTCTGAAGGGAATGTGACTCGTGATGATTCCTACATGGAAACACCATGTTATCTTTGGTTGATGAGCTGATATAGAGTGAAGTCTTAGAATCTCACACAGGGAGCAGTGCTATTTGAGATTTACCGTGCTCTCTGGTCATTGGCTGTCATCTGTTTTGTAGACTAATAATATCTTTACATATTATGAAAGGGTCAGCAGTGTGTAGACCACTTCTGAACCCCCTAGCTGTCCTAGATGTTTAGTTTTTATGGTCTGCCATGCAAGTTACCCTGGTGTTATCACTTAGTGAAACCAGTATCTATCCGTCCATCCATCCGTCCATCCTGCCATCCAATACAGAACCAAGGTGGAGTGGCCTGGTATCCAGTCCATTGCATGGCACACACACACACACACACACACACACACACACACAATATGGGCAGCTGCAGTGTAAGGTCAGCATTTTATAAAAAGGGAAACCTGGATTTATAAACCAAAATATATATATAATATATGAAAATGGAAAAGTGAAAAACGGTGATGACCACGGTCCCTGAAAACAATGACGTTTCACATGTTCCAGCAGCTCTGAGGGACGGCCATCTCACCCTGACGTTTAAGCGGTATCTACCTAAAGGCCCAGGTCCAAACAGCCAAGTCATGGAGTCACTGCAACGAGTGGCTTTGAGAAGGGGGGGGGGGTCTGGTCTGTCCTCTTTGAAATTTCCTGTCCTCCTTTTAGCTTGCTGTTGCCTTTTGGAGAGGCTCCCTTTAAGTGGGTCCTGGGACAGTGGGAGTAATGGTGCCCCCAGCAGGCAGGGAGTGTATCTACAGGGTTGCCGCCAATTATCCATTTGGTGTCGTGTGCGTTTCCAGTACAGACGGCTCACAGACACTTTGATGTGCCTGTTCCTTTCTAACCAGAGTGACTCTCACAGGTTGCTTTTACGATCATGTGAAGCTCTCCTAAATAGACAGTCGTACCGGGGCTGGAAGGCGGCCGTGATTTCATCGCCACTTCACCGCATGACGTCCAAAGTGCCAGTGGGTGGGTCTGTCGATGAGCCAGTGCCAGGCAGTGGTCTGTAAGCGAGGAACACCATTGATCGCCCACTCTGCCCCAGGGGGTGTTGGCGTTTCCCAGGCGACGTGGCGCTGTCACCACGCCACTACAGACAGGGTTTAATGAGGTCACCTGCCGGACTTCCTCTTAGCTGGATCACTTTCTATCACATGTTGGCCAGATCCCGGCAGGGTGCGAGAGAGCTTACTATATGGATTTTACTTTAACCGGGCATAAGATCACAGTGAGTTGGACTATGAAGCATGAGCTCACTGACCTGCGTAGGTGGAAACGATGGTCCTGCCATCGCGTGTTGGTACCTCGGTTCATCTAATCAGTCTCCCAACTTCTAGACTACGTAGCCTGTACCACTTGGTCTGGTCACATGCTCTGCTCTGGTGCTTGGCCGTCCTGTTCTGCAGATCCACAAAGCCCTTTGTCTCTTCTAGAGCTGTCATGGTTACTTAATTAAACCTTGATTACTCAATTTTAAAAAAGTATCGGTTTAAAATTAACCTCCTTGATCACCCGCTAATGCGGCGGAAGGAAGAGCAAGCATGGCGGACGAGGGTCCAAATGAAGAGCGAAGGCCTCTGTTGTGTGCAGGGCCAGATCTAGACGTTGGCAGACTAGGCAGCTGCTTAGGGCCTGTTCAGGAGAAGTGGAGCCCGGGGAAGTCATCTGTCCCACAGTCGGGCAGAACCAGGACACACTGGAGAGATTACATCTCACGGCTGGTTGGTGAACGCCTCAGTGTTTCCCTGCTAGAGCTGGGGGGGGTGGTTGGGGAGACGGAGATCTGGGCATCTCTGCTCAGACTGCTGCCCCCGCATCCCAGATCACATGGGCAGAAAACGGATGAACCAAAACAGTGTTATGTGTGTGTTTATCGTCAAATTAATCGGTAGATTACTTGATTATCAATGTAATCGATAGTGACAGCCTTGGTCTCGTCATCCTCTGTTACTTCGCTGATCAGCATTACTCATCAAGTTTGTCCTTCCACATAAATAACAAAACAGATGAAGTCCATCCTAATTCATACGCTGATTTATAGGCATATTCTGCTTATTTTGCTTGACAGACGTTTAGTTTATCTCTGGAACATCACCCCATGCCATCGCAGTGAGACACACTTCATGTGCTCCATCACCACACACTCTGTGCCGCTGCGTACCGTTCGCACCTTCTACCAATTATTCAGAATTAAACATTCATCTTCACTCCATGGGCTTTTTAAAAGGCATCAGATATGTAGGCCATATTTTTTGTGTGTTACATCAGGAGTGTCCTGGTTTGGATTTTCGGTTTTTCCTAAGGGCGCGCAGTACAAGGTCTTGTCTTGCTTAGTACTTAGAGCTACATTAGGTCATATGCTGCCTTTCTGTGCCACATGAAGATGATTCCTTTACCCCAGCAGATTGCGTTGCGTACGTCCATTTTCTCCGACGTGGGAGTCATTTTTAAATTGAAATATTTTTTGTTCAGTGCTATAGCTCTGCTGTGCACCTTGAAGGGGTTCAGACTCTGATTCTGACGCAGCCCCATCAAATACAGACGCGTCTATTGAAGCTAACCACTTTTCAGAATCTAGGAGATGTTGGTTGATGTCTGTTTCAGGTCTGAGGTTCAGTCAGTCGTGCTATTTTTAGCATTCTCCCCATTCCTGAAAATGTCCAGACCGTTACGTTTTGATGAACACCAAAGTATGTAGAGGCTTTGCAGTAACTTCACACTCTCCTTCCCTGTAGTTCTGAGTGCCTCCGTGTGCTGGAGTCGATGTGATTTGTTTTGTATCCACGGACCACTGGGGAACTAGGCACTTTGGTTTCTCCAGAGTTACCACCCATATTGAGTATCCATCACAGTTATTGCCAGTCTACGTGCCCTCAGTATTAGCTGGGGCAGAAAAGCCTAATTAGTGCCCAGGTGGGGAATTCACTGCCGTTGTTGTGTTGTGTTGAGTCTTATAGAAATGAATATGGATTTGGCGTCTTCCAACTGCCACACAGAACGTTTGGTTCTACTGCCACAGGAAAGGAGCTCTTTGAGGTAGCTACCTGGTTATCTAGCAATACAGAAACTCACTGAGGATCTTGGCACTGAAGAGCAGTTGTGGGCAAGTGGTATCCATCTGGCGCATGGTGGAGATATCCTGAAGGCTTTGGAACCACGCGGTTTATTTACAAGCGCAGTCTGGTATGTGATGCACTCAGTGATCTGCTTTTAAACTGCATAGAAACCTTGTGGTTATCGAAGATGAAGCGTGATGAAGCAGAAACCCTCTCGGATGAGCGCGTGGAAGCGGCTTGCTTCTGCGGCGTACTCCTCCGTGGCCGGGCGGGAGGCTGGCCGCCCTCGCAGTGTCTTCTCATCCCGACTCCCCCGCGTCTCCATGTTCTCCTCCGTCAAAAAAACACAGGCACTCCAAACTCCCCAGATCATGTTCTAATTAAGGGTTTGATCAGAAGAACCTGGAGTACAGACAGTCCTCGGCTTACGAACGAGATTCGTTCCTAAGTCTTTAAGTCGGATTTGTGGAGAAGTTGGAACAGGTACATATGGTTCTTATTTAGCCAAATGTTTGTCTTAGTATATGGTGTGTATATATATATTATATAGTATACAACCACTGAAGCCACGCAATGTTTTCATGAGCGTCACAAAGTCGTGCATGTGTTCGTTATTATGCGCCATTGTATTTAACTCACATTTTTATATAATAGACTTTATGGCAGTCAGTTCTTAACCAGCAGTGTACACAAGTCGGACATTCGTAACCCTTACTTCATCTGCTTCCTGATGCTATGACGTATTTACTGTGATACTGACGTACTAATGACACAGAGTATGCCTGTGTGTTGAGTGCAGCGTATCCCCGAAATCTCTAATAGCCATGTTGAGACCAACTGTATAATATCCTTTTCATACATGTGCTGACTGCATGCTTCGTACGCATGTATCTTGTGTATATTTACTTGTATTTACATGCATACTAAAATTACAGGTGAAGCAGCAACATCCTGCCCTGTGCTTTTATGGACATCCAACCACCTCCTGAGTCCTGCCTCTCTAACTCCCCCCGCCCCCCATTCCTGTTTTTCAGTCCAAGCTGTCATTCACCCTGGACAAGGAGTCAGGAATGCCTCAAGGCTGCTACATCTATCAGTACAGGGACAGCAACAAGTGAGTAACTCAAAGCCGAAGTATTCATGCACATAAGGCCAATCCGTGCTTTTAGCCCACAGTCTGAGAAATAATTTATTCCTCTCAGATTTTTTTTTTTTTGTTTTGTTTATTATTTAACTCTCTGAATGACCTTGTGGGATATACCGCAAGATATAAAGCAGTTTAAGCAATTACAAAAAAAGCTGAGAATCCTAAATAATTAATTACTCTAATTTTGAACCTGGCTGTAATTTTGTTAATGGGGCGAGCTTTCGACTTCGCGTTCAGTCATTGGAACGACTTCATCCGGTCTGGCCCTTTTTTTCCGCAAAAAGCTTTTTAAGTTTCAATACTTCCATGGCAGTCAATGAAATATGATTGTGTGGTCGTCGTCCAGCTTTTCTGGGCGAATTGGTCTGCGCGGTGCTTTCTGTCAGCGTGACCCGACCGGCTTAAGGAGAACACTCTGAACGGACCCCTGAAAGCCAGGGCTGCCGGGCTTGGCAGCGATGCTCCTGCTATTTTGGTAGTCTTGTTCCCGTAGTGAGTTTGCAGTGACCTGAACCACACCTGCTTCTCTCTGAAGCCTGTCCAGGGGCACTCGGAGCTCGTGCAAGGTGCGCTTCAGTCCAAGGTCGGGTTCATCTGCAAGCGATGATGCGTCGTCTGGCTGAAAGAGGGCTCTGATACTGCCTACTGTCTTCTTGATTCCTCTCCAGCTCTTCCGACGGGTAGTTGCTCCTCCGTAGCTAGGCGACACTGGAAACGTTTCAATGTTTTAATTTTTATAAAATGTAGAAAAACGACACGACGGAAAAAAACATCTTTGCCTTTCAAAGTAAAGTTGCACTAGTTTGCTATACATCGATGGTCTAAGTTTATGCAAGAAGATCGGTATATCCTTTCAAGCAACTGACCCTTACAGTATATACTGCTGTGGATTGATTTTAAAAGTGCAGATTTCATAGGAGACTTAAGTCAGCATTTTGTGCACACCTATATCTATTCAGTAATCCCATTATTCTTAGTGTGTTTATATAAATCAGCTTATTCATGGTTTTGGCACAGGGGTTGCCCTGTGGTTTCAAGAGTGTCTCATCACGTTAGTCCCGGAGAGCCGCGTTTTATTCCAGGTGTGTTTTGCCGCAGGCCTGGGGCGGAAGCATCCGGGGTGATCAGCGAGGAGAATTCCTCTGTTCGGCCAACCATCAATGTGCCTCTTTGCTGAATTACGTGAATGTAGTATCCGACCAAGTTCTATGCCGACGCACTGAGAGACACAGCTTGATGGGCAATCGGCCTCTTTGAAGGTGGCGACCGGGAGTCGGCAGTTCGCTGCTAATTACCAGCGGCTTGAGCGAGTGTGGGCGTCGGTCTGAGCGAGTGTGGGCGTCGGTCTGAGCGAGTGCGGGCGAAGATTGGGCGACTTGCTCTGTAAACAGCAAGCGCTTTGTCAGAACATCTCCCCTACATATACCGAGCTAGAAAAACAATGTACCGTCAGGATGATTTAAGTCATCCTCATCACTCCTGGGCTCGTGGCTGCTTGTGTAATCACACGCTGCTTACTGTGCACTCGTGTGTTTTTAACGTGTTTTCTTTGCTGATTTTATTATTTTAAAATTTTGTCCTCCAGCCAGGATTCTTTTGAGCATTTGGCACTCGGAATGGTAAGGATCCGTCCGAATTGAGCCTCGGCCCGGGACTCTGAGCCCCCCTGAGACGGCGGTTTCTGTCCCCATGTAAGCGCTGCACCGGAGTTCACGGGCTGGCTAATGACGCGATTCGCACCGTCTTACGCGTTATTTCAGCAAGAGCTGCTGCGTTTGCTCTCTCGGCTCCGTGTCGCCGTGCCGTCCTGAACGACCCGAGCTAGTGAACTCGCTAACCCATTTGTTAGCTCATTTTTGCACCCTGGGTGCCTTTTTGCTGAATAACGTGAATGTAGTAGCCGACCAAGTTCTCTTAGACCTCTTAGAATAATCTGAAAATGTTCTAGAAAGCACCATGAGCAGGTGCCCATGTTTCTGGATAATGCTTGAGGATATAAAATCATCAAACCTGCAGGTGTGACCTTTAATCAAAGGCCATTTTCCTAACGTGCTGCTGCGTTGCTGCTCCTGGCTCAGACGGCCTCAGGAAGCGAGCCCCGTGCGAGAGACGGGGCCACGTGTAAACACACTTAAATGGTGTCACTCTCCTCTGGTCGGGGGCCAGCGGCAAACTCACGATGATCTCAGAGAAGGTGACATCACCCGAGTACCAGCCAGTCTCCGAACGTTGTCCTCGGGCAGTCAGGGCAGGGAGGTTGGCGCAGTGGCGGACTGCAATCACCGCGGCCGGTGGCTTGTATCGTAACGATTGAACCTTCCGATTGTTGCTCTATGATTAGTGTTGCATAAATATTCCCCGCTTGTCTGTGAGTTTGCAGGGTGGACAGTGGGTTAGGACTCTGTACCTGTGATTGGACGGTTGTCGGTGGCTGGTAGAATGACATCACTGTTGGCATTCTTAACCCTATTTGCTCAAGGGTCACTGGCTGACTGTACTCTCTGATCCTCCCTTGTACTTTGGACTAAATCATCTGCTAAATAAATGTAAACGTTAAAGTACATACTTGCCTGCCTTGAGACACACGCAGTTGGGGGTGTGTGTGTGTGTATATGTGCGTGTGTATGCAAGAACATCTCTCGTTATTCTGTCCCTACGTCAGAATCCACTTGTCCTGTTAGACACATAGTTGTTACTGAGCAGGCGAAACGGAGCAGGATGGGCTAGGATGCTGCGGTTTGTGTCAAACGAAACATGGCAGGTGGAAATACAGAGGGGGGACGACGCACGAACAACACGCCCGCAGAGCCGGTCCACGCCGCAGACGTGTGAGGTGTCATCGCTGCCCACTGACTCATCCTGTCGCCCCCTCCCCTGTTACCATAAATACACAATAATGAACAGACTGTATGGAGCCCCATTCGCGCACAGCTGGACAGCTCCCATACAATGCAGAAGGGTTCTGTCAGCCAACAGCTGAAGCACTGAAGCCCTTCATGCTCAAGTGTGTATATATAAAAAGAGGTGCTTAATCTGTTTGTGTTTTTCCTGTCACTTTTCTTAACTGGGTTCCAATTTAGTTGGCTTATTTTTCAGATATTAAGTTGTTTAGTACTGACTCAGCGAAACCAGACTGGCTCCGATTAGTTGTGATTGTTGTGCCGCCCTGCCCATGGCTGTTCTCAGCAGGGCTGATTTCTCGCATCATTTATCACGTAGCGGTTTGCCCTCCCTCGATGCCCACCGCTCTCACCCACGTTCAGGCAGTCTCTCAACCCAGTCCTCAGGGACCCCCCCCCCCCCGACGGTCCACGTTTTTGCTCCTTCCCAGCTCCCTGACAGACCGTCCACGTTTACCTGGAGCTGGGAGGGAGCGAAAACGTGGACTGTGTGAGAGTTCATGAGGACCGGGTAGGGAGACACTGCTGTACAGTAAGAGTGACCTGTGCTCAGCAGTGTCCCCCTGCCCTGGGCCTGCATGAAAGGTCCCATGCCTTCTGTGACCGGTCATCTCCATCTGCCATGAAGGAGGAACAGATGAGGTCAATCGGGAGTCCCTCTGAAGATCTGCCATCCAGGCCTACATATAAAATAAAAGTTAACATTTTAATTGGATGAAATGCATTTGTTTTAATTCTCAAAAATACTGTCTGATGGTGACGTGCTGTTTAAATTAACATTTAATATGCTTTCCGCTACGTCCATTAATCCACTCGAGGCCTTTCAGTGCTAATTAAATAAAAACGTGTTGCATCCACAGCTTTGCCGAACAGGTAAAGGGGAAAAACTGATATTTAAAATGCGCATTTTAAAGTTGGAACCCAAGACCGTTTTCAAAGGTCTGCGGCTAAATATTTAATATCATTCAATGTGCATTAATACAGTCACTATGAACAAGATGAGGGTTTTTCGTGGTTTTCAACACTTGGATTCAGGGTGGTGGGCGGGGGGGAGGGGGTCGCAGTGCAGTGGCACTAACCAGACGAACCGTGGCTGGAGCGCTCTGGGATATGGACACCCCCGCGACCACGGGGGTTTATGGTCCAGCGTGTTCGACTGCACCGCCTCCTCACTCAACCGCCAGTGCACTGGAAAACAGGAAAGAATGAGCGCACTGCACAAGCAGGATCATGCTGAGGAAATAGCTCTGCTATTTCCAGTGTTTCCATGCGGCTCAGTCTAACGTGGACAGCCAGTCAGTTTATTGAAGGTTATTATAGTAATATCCGTGTTATGGTGATATCCATGCTTAATCAAATGGCTAATTGGCTGGAATTTATTATTTTTATTATTCTGAATTAGTCCATCACACAAGCAGAATGATTTTGTCCAAATTGAATTACATTTATCTATTTTTTTTATTCTTTTTTTTTTTTTTTCCTGGGTTGGATGTATTTAACTGGAACATTTCAGAGCGCTTTAATCCAGGGTGATTCCCCAAGATCCATTTCATGATCTTTATACCCGTAACCTTAAATTTCCTTCCTTCCCACCCTTAAGCGCTGTTCCATCCACTCCTTCATGAGTGCGACCCGTTTTATCCCAATGTTCCTGAACTCACTCTTTTGCCGAAAGAGATGTTTCCAGATGATCGATTTGAGAAGGTTGCCAGGTGTAAATTCCAACCTCGAGTGGATCAGAGACTGTTAAGAAAGCTCAGGGTTTTTGAAGAAGCTTCCACTTAAGATCATTTTTAATGAAAGCGTAATGTCTTTATATGTCAGTGTCTGTGCCTCAGATTGTTGTAAATGTTAGCGGTACGGACAGTAGCTGTTTCTCCCTGGAGTCACTGCTGTCCAAGAGCTTGTGTACAAGGGAAAGTACAGAAAGTTCTACCCTAGGCTAGTAACGAAAGAGAAATGTCATTTCTGCATGTCCTTGTCTGTCGTCTTTTATTGACGGCACTGCTGGGCAACCTGTACGGTCGTTACATACTCAGTCCGTCTCACGTTTCTCATCTGATGTAGAAACACCAGGTTTCAATCAGTGACTGAAGAGGAACTGAATATCCACTTAAGTTCGTGCCCAACCCCCCCCCCAAGTCATCCCGCCTGAGCTTCCCTGCTGCAAATGGCCCAGTCTTTGTGTCCCACCCAGAGAGGAAAACACCAGCTCACTAGGTTTCGTGACGATGCGGCCCGGTGCTCTGGTTTCCAGTGCGGAAGTCATACATTTGATATTTGGCGTTTCAGGGCAAGTAAAACAATCCCTGTTTCATAAGTTACATTATACTATAAGTTATGGACATTATAAGGAGGCCACTGCTTTGGGACATTTACTTGCCGGATGCTTATTTAACAGACTTAAATGGGGGTATAATGAATCATGTGGCTCTGATATATCCATCATAGTCCCTTATCCAGTGCAGGTTAGAGAGCTCCGATGGGCTTATTATCCGCTGTTACCTGTTAGCGGCTTGTGTGCGTTCGCGGTCCCTGATGATGTCACTGCCTTGGCGTCTGCCTGCTCCTTCCTGTAGAGCCGCTCGCTGCCACCTGCTGGAAGATCGGTGAATCGCTCCTCCCCACCTGCTTGGCTGTACGGCGGATGCGCTTCCTCCTGTTTCCTGTTTGCGCTTCATTAATCCACCTGTGACACTTATCTGGAGGCTTATGCAGCCAAGGACACTTTTAGCTTGGAGTGTGTGTGTATATATGTATGTGTGTGTGGAGGGGGAGGGTGTCGGTCACGACTCTATTAAGCTGTGGAAAGGTGATTGGCTGCAACCGTCTGTTTACCTGCATTTGGGACTTTGGTCATTTCAGCTAAAGAGTGATTGAATAGGTAGCTTGACTCCGAGAGATTGCATTGTTCTGTTAAATCTCTAGACTGGCACACTGATGCAGTGCCGTCTTGTCTTCTGTACAGTGAGCTGCCATATCCCCTTTTTCTGTACCCTTTGTCACATTATGTCAGATACAGGCTCTTGTGACTGAAGCTTATGCTTTCTGGTTGCGGGATACATGCTGAATCGTTTATATAGGCATGTGAAGTATGTAGATATGCTTTGTTTTACCGAATGAATATACTAGTGCAGTGGTTCTAAAGGTTTTGCATCAAGTACCACTCTGGATCAAAACAAAGCAGCCAAGTACCTTATGGGTGAAAGAAATGACAATACCCTGAATCGCAGTACTTAACAAATGAAGAAATGGTCTTGTGTACCACCTGGGGGTGCTCATGAGCACCACGAATGGTACACATACCAAAGTTTGAGGACCACTGTGATTGGGTCTTAGTTAGTGGTGTAACGATAGTCTACTCATGATTTGGTTCAATAGACGATTCAAGACTCATGGCTTGATACAATACATTCAACAAAATAAGACTGCACAATTATTTATTCCTTTCTAGGCACATATACTTACCAAAAAAGCCGCTTTCAGGCCATTTCTTGCAGTTTTGTCCCTTTTCTGCAGACTCCAATGCAAAATGCAAAAATAAAATCTCAAAGCGAAGCTTAGATTACGCCTGCTGCGCCCTCTTGCGTCAACATCTATAAATGGCTTCCTGCCACTGTGCATTGTTACACTCCTGCAATGTTACACTTCTGCCATCCAGATACTTCTGAAAAACCTGATCGCCACTCGGCCACGAGACCAATGAGACACTCGCATTCACAGCTAACCCTACCCCCCACCCCCACCCCACCCATAGGCTTGTGGAGGAGTTCATGCTTCTGGCCAACATGGCCACCGCCCACCGCATCTACCGAAGCTTCCCACAGTATGCCCTGCTTCGCCGACACCCTCCGCCCCAGACCAAGATGGTGGACGACCTCACGGAGTTCTGCGACCAGATGGGCCTTAGCCTGGACTTCTCCTCCGCAGGGGCTCTTCACGTGAGTGTTCGCCGTCCACGTGGGTCATGCTCTTGCCGTTTGTACCTGCCAGTTCCAAATTCTTTTAGCTGTCTGATAGCTGGATAGATAGTGTACATAGAGTAGATAGTGTACATAGAGTAGATAGTGTACATAGAGTAGATAGTGTACATAGAGTAGATAGACGGATAAGTAGAGTGGCTTGTGCTGCGTTTTCCAACCCGGTTTTACCAAGAGCTGGGAGGGAGCAAAAACATGGACCGTCTGGGGTCCCTGAGGACCGGATTGGGAAACACTGACTTAATGGTCGGTTTGTCACTTTCTGGCGATAATCAAAGTGGCAGAAAGTTTCCATCCTGGATTGTCTGTGTTATAAAGCCGTCCATGCCTGTACTGTCTCTTTTTTAATCTAATTTACTGTCACCGCAGAGGAGTCTGAACGAAACCCTGGGGACGGACCAGTACTCGCTCGCCAGGAAAGAGGTCCTTACAAACATGTGCTCCAGGCCCATGCAGGTGAGTGAGTGCCGGCCCCCAGAGCATGTCGCTCCGCAGGACGGGTATCTGCCTGAGTGGCGATATTAACTGAATTAGGCTCAGTCCCTTTACCTAGCAGGCAAAGTGCATGTTCTCTTCACTCTATCTATTGCATTAAAGACAATAATATGATTTTTGGGGGCGTGTTTAATGAGTATTTTCTGCAGGAGAGATATTCCTTCATCACTCAGAGAGATTTCCACTAGCACGTCCATTTTGGCACTTTATATCCGCATGTAGTGGTATTTATTAATCTAATTTATTTTATAATATCATCATGTTTTTTGGGGGGCGGGAGGGTTCTGGTTTTGTGGTCAGTCTCTCCCGCTCCAGGCCTTTCCGTAGTTAATGAGTCGCTGTGAACATCTGTCTAGCAGCCGAGCCTTAATGAAGCAGGTTGCTAGTTCTGAGACCCGCGTCACGGGTTGCAAATCGGGCCGGAACCCACACAGGTTCGGCCCGGCCGTCCTGGGGCTGCCCCTCGAGGCCGGCCGCACACGTAGGCTGGGAATCGGGTGTCTAAGGCCCTAAGCAGGCTGGAAAGGTCCCCGAGAAGCCAGATCCCGGTGCTGAACCGGTCGGCTAGCTTGCAGGTTTTAGCTCTTACCAGATAACCTGCGAAGGGTACGGTCCCACAGCCCAGTTCCTGGGGGAATGTTGTGCATTTAAAATGTATGATTAATTTCATGAAAGCCTAATGAATTCTTATCTAGGTGGTGGTGTTAGATGCAGTGTCCTATAGAATTGAATATTTCTTTATAATTTTGTAGTAAGTACCTATTGAGCATCTATTGCACGTATTTGATTTGCATTGAAGCCCGTCCTATGGTCAAAGGTCGCTTTCAGTGATCAGTCTTCACCTCACATTGGCATTCTGTGCCCTTTTCCAGATGGCTGTATATTTCTGCACTGGAGTCCTGATGGATGAGGCCCAGTTTCGACACTATGCCCTCAATGTACCCTTCTACACTCACTTCACCTCCCCCATCCGCCGCTACGCTGACGTCATTGTGCACCGCCTGTTGGGCGCGGCGCTGGGTGAGAGGCGCGCGCAGTTCGAGGCTCGTGCCCGAGGCAGATTCGTGGCTGCTCAGGACAGTGACATTCTTTTTGGGCTTAGGTGAACCTAACAAAGGATTGTTTATGGATGAATATGACTGCAGTGCACGGGTTTGGATAGCGGTTAATGACATAGAACCAAATATCTATTGTAACCACTATGCAAATGCTTGTCTTTCAGTAAAGTTGTAAGATGTGCCTGTTTAACATTGGCCTGGATCACACACACACACACACACACACACAGACACACGTACGATAAAATTGAACATTAAAAGTAACCATACTGATTCATCTTGTATTCCAGTTGAAGTGCTTGGGACAGAGTTGTATGAATAGAGGGGTTTTTATTACAACTGAAGATCCCGTTTGCCCCCCCCCCCCAGGGTGCAGCCCCCACCCCAGCCTGGAAGCTGAGGACGTCCAGAGACAAGCGTCCCACTGCAACGACAAGAAGACGGCCTCTAAACGCGTGCAGGAGCTCAGCTCTGAGTTATTCTTCGCCGCCTTTGTCAAGGTGAGCACCCGTCCTGGGGCAGGAAGGCCCAACCTCACCTGAACCTGACCTGACCTTGAGGCTAAACGCAGCCCTGTAATCGCGTGCCAGCGCCTAGCCACCTCCTTCCTTTTATTCCTTAATTATACAACAAACTGTGAACTTATTTAATTCATTGTGTCAGGCTTTATTGAGCAGACGTGGCACGGTAATTAACGGATCATGGCCCCATGCCCGCGTCCTTTTACGAGCTCCACCGGCCGCTGCGGACCAACAGCTGTGTTCTCCCGTAGGAGTCCGGCCCCCTGGACTCCGAGGCCATGGTGATGGGGGTTCTCGACCAGTCCTTCGACGTGCTGGTGCTGAAGTACGGCGTGCAGAAGCGCATCTACTGCAAAGTGAGTGGGGCGTTCTGTCTGGTCGCCCCTCCGCCGCCTTCTGCAGAATTTCAAGGAGCTGCGGGCGTCCTGCTGGCTTCCTTAAGGATCCTTTGCAGACACATCGCTGATAAGTAGTCGATTGACAAGGATACCCCTCCCCGACGCAGTCGAGTCACCTGCGTCTGCTGCTCGACACTCTCTGGCTCCCATAGCCTCTAGCCACAGTCCTAGGTTGCCTGCCTGTCAAACTGTTCCTCCATACACGGCAGCTCTAATTCTCTCGTCTCTCGGCGAAGCGAAAAGCCACATTCTCGACTACACCGTCATCTCCCACAGGCGCTGCAGGGCCTGAAAGACTTCCGCTTCCGCAAGGTTGGGAAGAAGCCGGAGCTGACCCTGGTTTGGGCAGCGGACGGGAGCGTGCGGGGAGCCGTGGAGCAGGTAAGAGGCGTGTATCCAGGCTGGACTGCAGAGCTGTGATGAGGGAGATCAGGCTGCATCGTAAAAGCCTCCATGCCGTACTCTGAGTTTCTCCAGACAGATCAAGCTGGTCATGGCTTACGCATAGTAAGAAGTCATTTCTGACTAACAGCCTCATTGTGTGATCTGTAATCACTTAATGGAGTGTGTTTGTCCTGTCACAGTACACGCTGTCTTTAGATCACCGTGGTGTGGCCTTAAATCATGGCTTTTATATACATACGAACATTTTTTTTGCTCCAAAGGCAACTAGACCCAGGACCTGGAAGTCAGATGGCTTTGCTATCTGAAACTGTTTTTTTTTGACTTGTGCGATTATGTTGATAGTTTCCACCCTTGTAAAGGGCAAGGGTCCCGTACATGGTTGCCATAAAGATAATCTCAGGACTCCAAATGCAGGTCGGCTTAAAGACCACTTTAGGCGGATGTCACCGTAGAAGTAAAGCGTAAAGGCCTTACCCCAGACCCGTTACGACTGTGTCCTCACACGACCACAGGGTTGTGGGTTTGATTCCCACCTCTGGCACTGTGTGTGGAGCTGGTGTTTCTCCTCCTGGTATTCTGGCTCCCTCCCGCAACCCAAAAACAGGCAGTTAGATGATCTTATGTTGCCCCTGCCTGCCCTGTGCTGCCTTGTATGGGCTCCAGACTTCCTGTAACCCTCTGCTGGGTTAGCAGTCATGGAAATCACTGTGGGTAACCGACTGGATAATCTTAGGCCTTGTCCACACGTACACAGGTACTTTTAAAAAACTGTGTTTCTCCATCCACATGAAAATGCTAAAACACGCTGTCAAGAACATGCCAAACCAACAGGGGGCGATATAAAGTGTAAAGCCATGCTGGCCAATCAGAAACCTTATTACCAGTTCTGCTAGGCTAAAAGCAGCAAACCGCGCACCCTCTGTGAAACAAAGTTGACAACGACACACAATCTGTCATTATAAGCTGAAAACTTAAAGTTTTCTCTGTCTACATGTCGATCTTTGAGTCTGGTCCCGGTATCTCTTTAGCTTAACTTGCTACTTAACCTTACATGCCTGCAGTAAACCTGAATACCTTCTACCGCCTGTACTATGTAATTAAAGTTGACCTTTCCTGTTCCACCGGGTGTAAATTTATTTTCTAATTCAGAAAAGCTGACTGTACGCCCCCTATTCCCCACGTGCCTCACTTTCATGACCCTGAACCGCACTCATGTGCTTCATCGCCTGTCAGGAGATCAGCATCTTCACCCTGGTGGAGGTCCAGCTACAAGCGGATGCAGCCCCCATGAAGTACAGTGCCACACTGAAGTGTCCCTCCCCCACCGGGTCGTGAGACGGCCCCCTACTGGTGCCACAAGTTAAATGCTTAAACTGAAATGCATATGTTTCTTGCCTTTTAAAGTATGCCAACTGAGGCTTTTTAAGTGAAGTACTGTTTTTTTTTTAATTATTATTATTGTAAACCAATTATAAGTGACCAGTATTGTAACTTGGCATTAATGATAATTATGACGAATGGATTTGGCTGAAGTTTTCTTTGAAGGGCCAAGGTGATACAGTGTGTTGCTGCTGTTTCTTTTATGTCTTCAGACCTCCTAGGTCAGTGTTACATACCTGTGTGTCTGTGCCCAGCTTAGGAGATAGTCCTGGGGTAAGATTTAAAGATTTAAGCTTTAATATTAGCTGGAGATGTGTGTTCAGAAACTGGAGATGTTCTTGCATTGTTTTTTTTTTGGTTTTTTAAGCCATTTAATTCTATGTGCGTTTAGTAGTAGCTAGCAGAAAATGAACTGGCAAACACAGGATCTATTATTTTTTTTTTAGTCTGCTGTGCTGAATGGGTGCATTATGGCTCTCGACACATGAACATACAGCACAGAAGCACTGATGTGCTTCCCGCAGGTTGACGACATGATTGTTAGGAGATGCTTACGGCGGACGTTCAAGTGGCAGTGCCCTGAATTTAGGGTTGGATGGTAGCAGGTAAATAGCAGTTGACGGCCGATTCTGCACTAGATGGGATCGGTGTATCTGGGAAACTGAAACTGCCGTTTGTTGGAGGACTTTACTTTTGAAATTGTGCCCCAGGAACCCGTGCCGCTCGATGGGAACATAAATTTGCAAAGACTTGAGTGACTTTTTAATGTTTTGTTTGCCAAACAAAATGTTGACGTTTTTAAAGTGTTAGTTTTAGGTGTGCTGGTCCCCTTTTAGAACCTGAAATGTCAACGGGATGCTAACTTGTGCTTTTCGGTACTTGAGGACTTGTAGTCCTTGTGGGCATCTATTGCTGGAGCCGCCGGTCCGACCTGCAACACGTGTGCTTCTGCTCCTGGTGAGAACGGAATCCCGTTTCTGCTCTTAAGCAGTGCTAAGCTCCAAGATGCTGCCGGCCTTTGGACATATGGGCCTTCCTTGTTGAAATGTGTGTGGTTTTTATTCTGGGCAGAGGTTTCCTCCATTCTGCCCTTCTCCTGGTTTGCAGTGGGCCTGAGGTTTTGGGGGGTGAGTGAGCGTTAACCTGAAGATGTCCATTTGGCTTGGGATTTGGGGTTTTTGGAAATCTTTACATATCCCCCCCCCCACACACACACACACACTTTGAAAAGTTTCGTCTGCCCTGCTGCCGTCGTGAGCATAACCGGCTGCATGCATCAGCAGCACTTTATGGAGAGTTTGCCAGCTAGGGACGACTTCTCGTATGTCTCTGTGTCACGGTCACATTGCCACATGTTTAAGCTCCAGCTGTCTTTACAAGAACAAAGCTCAGTGCTGGAAGCAGCACGCTCTGTGCCTTGTGATGTGTGACTGTCCTCGTTTGTGTCCTTTTCCCCTCAGATGCCCTTTCATTTTCCAGCCTTTCAAAGTGCTTCACATCTGCCTTTACTTGAGTGTTTTTTCTGGCCAAATTTGAATGATCATATAAATCTGTTGGGAGCCTGTCAGCCTCGTCACTCAAATCCAGCTGCGCTTTTCCTGTTTAGGTGTTTCTTTTATTATCGCATTGATCTTTGTGCTTAAAGTCAACACAAGGCATTTGTACGTGATGTTTTTACAGGGTATGTGAAGGAGGAAAACACAAATGTGCTAAACTTTAACTTTTTTCACAAAGATTTGACACACAGATGCCTGTCTCTATCTAGCCAGCTGTGAAAAGAGCTGGACTGTAATCTGAAGCTTGTAGTTTGTGCAGTTAATTGTCTACTTTCTGCGTCAGGGGTCATTCATAGTGATGCTGCTTCCATTTAACACCGTGTGCATACTCCTGCTTAGCCGCCTCCGTTGCGTTACAGTAATTATCATAATGTGATGTCATTTTCTCCTGTGTCCATGAGAGCGACGTGTATTGTTCAACTGGCCCTTGGGATAATAAAATACACTTACCCGCTCGCAATCTAGCATTGTCTGATTTTTTTGGCTGCTGACTCTGTGTGCCATAGTCTGTTTGTTGATACTGTTTGGTGTTCGTGTTTGTTTAAGAGAGCGTGTGTCTGTCTGCACGTGTACGAGCCAGCAGGAAATTTAGATAATTCGCTCTGAGTTCTCAAGCGCGGCGCTGCTTTGGTGATCGTTGACTATCGCAGCTGCAGCATGAGCTCTGACTTTCTGTGAACCAGGATATAGGGGTGGGTGGGTATAGATGTGAGTTTTATGTTCCTCCTGAACTTTGCCCCCAGCCAAGGACTTGGATCTTAAACCCCCATAAGGAACACGCTCAGCATTATCAAGGCTGATAAGATGCATATGCTGGAATATGCATTACGATCATTTGATATTAATGAAGCAAACATGTCTTTGGCACTAAAGTAAGTGCAGCAAAAGTTTGATGTTTTTTTTTCCTTCTGGGAAGTATTAGAAGCATGGAACAAAATGTCCCTGTCTTGATATAATTGTTTTATCCAATTAATTGATATTGTTTGTGGATTCATTCTTGTCAGGGTGTGGTCAGAAGGTGCTGATCTGCGCTAAGATGCTCGCCGCCGTGGCCGTAATGCCTGACAGGATACGCCCCTCGCTTGGGGGGCAGGATTCCAATTTTTTGGAATAGTGATACTTTACTGATCCCCATGGGAATTCCTTCCCCCTGCCATCTAGTTCTAAATGAGACACACATACAGTACAGGCAAGGGAAATTGGGAGGGGGTTTCATGGCTAACGGCAGCATCAATCTGCCAGCCCAAGGATTCAAACCAGCAACCTTCAGACCCACGGGCACAGAGTCCTAGCCTGCTGAGCCATGAATCACCCCGAACACCAGCACCACCCAGCCTGTTGCTGCCAAGGTGCCACCTTGGACCACATGTACAATGTTCACCCTCACGCCCAGGCGTCGTCCCTACAGGTTATCAGATGGTCATCAAGAGCAACAGATCTATGGGCTTTACAGTGTATTTAAATACGCCTGCATGTTTATTCTCAAAATACCAGGTAAAGCATCTGCCCAAGTAGTTACTTCAGTAAAGTAATTGTTTTGTGGGGCTGGAGCAGCAGAGTGTTGCATTAAGGGGGTTCTTACACTGTAGTATCCGTGTACATTTCATACAAAACATCAACAAACGTGTTCTTTGAGCAAAAGCTTAGCACATCCTCCTGTGATTTGGCCAGTTGCTGTCAAAACCCATGTGGTGCCCCAGGTAAGATTCACCATCAGCAACCCCCCACTCATAAGTTGTGGGGGGGGGGGGGGGTGCTTGATTTACTAAGGTGGACCCCCCTAGGAAGATGCCCCCCATAACGCTAGGCCCCGCCATTGGATTTGGTTGTGCTAATTTGCATGTAGCGACAGTATCAAAATCCCTGGTAACTCCACGGTGGTGTACCTTTGAGATGTTTACTAAAATATATACATCAATCGGCATAAAATATCCATAAAAATGTCTCACCACTCCGCTACGCCCTTTACACTTTGGTCAGTGGCGCGGTTATAAATATGCAGTACGACATCAGTATGGCTCTTTTAACGACACGACGTGTGACACATAACATGGCTCCGTGTCGTATTACCCTGATCGCGGGGGTCCTGCTCTGCATGGCGGTGGACCAGTCCAGGGCCGTCATCCCCGGTAAGTGCCGTGGATCAGCCGGACCTGTGGGTAGTGGAAGCTTGAATCTAACACCTCGATGTGCATACGTTCAAAGGACAATTGAAACGTTTTTTACTCAAATGTTTAAAATAATTAAGTTTTTATACGTATATGAAAATCATTTTCTAGTCTCATTCATTTATGAATATCAGAAAATATTTCTAAAATGCATGGAAAATGACGTGTGGATCTATCCTAATGATGGTTGAATTCACCCATTGGAAAATACTTAACCAGAATGTGACCACAAAACCAGTAAACCTACAAGTAAGCCTGTTTAGCTGCTGTTCCATCCCTGTTCTGGTGCTCCCTCAGTTGAAGAGGAGAACCCTCGTTTTTGGAATGAGAAGGGAAACCAGTCCCTCACGCAGGCACTGAATCTGCAGCCTATTGTGGGCCAAGCCAAGAACCTTATCCTGTTTCTGGGTGATGGTGAGTTCCGGAGTGAAGAACATTGATATATTCACCATGGTTACGGTTCGGTGCCTTATCCATTCATCTTCTACATCTTCTATCACTTTTCCTGCTCATGGTTGCATGTTGCTTTCATGTAACCTGGATCAAGAAATCAGTCTTACCTGTAATTATCGGACAAATTACCGCTCAAGCGTAACTTGAACAAGGGTTCAGAATCTGTCCCTCTGTCCCTTCAAAACCATCGTGACCCTGAAGGCTTCGTACCTTTAACAAACTGGGATCTTATTCTGAGACTTATACCTGCCGTTAAGAGTAATTATGCGCTGCAGCTAATAAAATTGCCTTCTGATGGTGGTCTTTGAGCTTGGATGCTATGTGGCTGGCCTTCACCTAGGGATGGGCATCCCTACCGTGACAGCAACACGAATCCTCAAGGGCCAGATGGACGGCAAGACAGGAGAGGAGACCACGCTGACCATGGACACCTTTCCATTCCTGGCCCTTTCAAAGGTACCATCGGCCTTGTCCTTCTATGTTTCAGTAGTCAGTCTCTCCTGTAAAATTTCATATTGTTTGTTGTTAAGCTCCACCCCAGCTTGCCAAGTGCGTGTGGCAGTATTTTAGTAAATTATTTACCACACTGAAACAAACAGTCTTGTCTTAAACGTTTCCTGCCTGTTTAAGCTCAATGGGAAGTCTCTCTTTGGGCATGTTTTCTTCAACTTGAAGTAAGACGCATTGCTCATCCATCACATGTAGGAAGATCCCATTATATGTAGTGCTAAACGCCATTTATTTAATGCTTTGTCAGATATCCAGGCCGTTCTGTCGAATTAAAGCTGTTCTTGTTTTGCTAGCTGAAATGAGTCACATTGTGGTCTGAGGAAGCAATCACTCTGTGTTCAATTAGCCTTATCTTCTTCTCCCAAGACCTACAATGTGGATAAGCAGATGCCTGACAGTGCGGGCACTGCCACAGCCTACTTGACTGGCGTCAAGGCCAACTATGGCACGCTGGGCCTGAATGCAGCAGCCCGGCGTGGCCAGTGCAATACCACCTTCGGCAACGAGGTCGAATCTGTGCTGCACAGGGCCAGGAGAGCAGGTGGGCCTGAGTACCATCACAGTAATGCTGCAAAGTGTTGTAAGCAGCAAGTATAGTGATGCATGTAAGGCAGAGTTTCCCAATCCGGTCCTCAGGGACCCACAGCCGCTCCGTGTTTTTGCTCCCTCTAAACTCCCTACCAGACAGTTCACATTTTCGCTTCCTCCCAGCTCCCGGCAAAAACGTGGACTGTCTGGTTGGTCCCCAAGGACCAGATTGGGAAACACTGATATACATTGCTGTTTGTAGTGATGCAAGTTTGGTGTGGCGTCGTTGGATAGGTGATCTTGCTGTAAAGATGCAGTGAAAATGTGGCCGTCCCGTGTTGCAGGGATGTCAGTGGGCATCGTGTCTACAGCACGGGTGCAGCACGCCTCACCCGGCGCTACCTATTCGCACTCGGCCGACAGGAACTGGTATAGTGACGCCGACCTGCCGGTGGATGCGGTGAAGCAGGGCTGCCGTGATATTGCCTTCCAGCTGGTCAACAACACTGACATCAACGTAAGACCAGCAGGTCCCTAACATCAGTATCAGATCCTCAATGCTGACACCTTGCAAGTACACACCTGTAGTAACTGTAGTATGAACACATGGCCTATCGGGCGTTACAAGTGGTACCTATTTAAAGTAACATGTTTTTCCTGTTTACACATCTGGATGTTGATTAAAGCACACGTCCATCCATCTTCATTCTGCACCTATTATTTTGCATGATGGTATGCTAGATTTGAACCTTAGATCTTCAATTCCCACATCATCTAATAACTATGGATATTGCTTTTCCATACATATCTTGATGCAATTTCAAAGAAGCCTCCCAAGGATTTTGTGTGTGTGTATATATATATATATATATATTTTTTTTTTATGTACTTTTTATTTTTTAAAATTCCTTAGTAGTAATGAAAAAAATGTGTTATTTCAGTGTCCGATTGAAAGTGCTTCCTGTGTACATTGTACCTCCCTAACAGGTCATTCTTGGAGGTGGCCGTACCTACATGTTCCCCAAAGCCACACAAGACCCAGAGTACAACACCAGTTATGGATCCCGATTAGACAACACTGATCTCGTCGATAAATGGCTCACGGGAAAGAAGGTAGTCAGTCATGCACCACCTGAAACCAGCTTCAGTACATGAGCACTGGCTTAGTCCTGGAGTTCATGAGCAGCTGCATTATATAGCCCAGGGCTTTTCAGTCTTGCTAAGGTGTAATTGGAGTTGCCGAGTTGCCCATAGGTGTGAATGTGTGTGTGTAAATGTCTGAGTGCCCTGCGAAGGGTTGGCGCCCCATCCTGGGTCATTCACTGCCTTGCACTCGTAGCTCCTGGGATAGAATCCAGACACCTGTGAGCCTGCATAGGACAAGCAGGGATGGATGGATGGATGGATGAAACAGTTCCTGCCCATTCTGAGTTATGTATGCCACAAATTAGTGGTAGCAAGCTCATAGTTCTGGTCTGTTTTCATTTGGGGGTTCCCTGGTTTATGAAAGGTTGAAAGTCCCTGGTATAAGTTAATCCTTAGGATTTTAGGATCAGTTTTTTGTCACTGATTTTTAACATGTATTTTTCATTAATTGTTGCTGTTTTGTCTCTGCCTCACTCTCTATGTGTTTTAGAACGCAAAGTACGTGTGGAACAAAGCTGATTTTGATGCTGTGAATGCAGATGATGTGGACTACTTGATGGGTAATGTTACCGCCGAAAAGAACCAGCTAAACCAGAAATGTTTCCATTGAAATGTGGCACTTCATGAAAATGAAGATGGCAGGTGCTATACTTAA